ACCAGTACTTATTGGAAATGGTCCATTTATAGTTGATTTACCTACGGATACCTATGGTGATTTTCCATAGCTATGTTAGTTTGCCAGAGGGTAATTGGGGATTGATGTGGATAAATGGATCATACGTTCGGTGGTAGCCCAGTTTTGGAATTGCCAAGTTGGTAAACAGATCTAGGCCAAGGGTTTGATCTATGGGTGATATATGATGCACCCTCTGGTGAACAATCATAGCGGTTGAACATGGCAATTTATAGTTGATTTACCCATTAAAAAATGTGATTTTCCATAGTTATGTTAGTTTATTAGAGGGTATCATGATACATCTAGAGTTACATGGGCTCATATATACCAAACAAAACAATGGGGGGCACCACATTGTACGGCCACATATTTGCATCAATGTGGCGCAGCTGTCCTTTCTTCACGTGCCGCGCTTTCAAAAGCTCTGGCCGCAATCCCGACTGGAATAGCTCATGACAGGATGATGAGCTGAGCTGTAGTGAGAACGGAGTCAGAGACAGTTTGCCAATGAACCATTCAAGATTCCTAACCTAACTGTTTGCGGTTTTTTCGTGGTTTGTTCCTCCTAGCTTATTGGTTGTTATAGTCCAAGATATCGATGGGAATTCTTATTGACCAGCCAGTAGAATGGCATTGGATAGAAGCATTTTTAACGGCTCAGATATGGTCAGATGGTACCCCCTATGATTTCTATAGATATATCCATCATAAACATTCATAAACCATATTTAGCCGAGTTAGAAACTAAGTTAGCCAACGACCTGGGGCCCTACATCAGTGCTGGTATGACCCCTGACATCTTCAGCTTTGGCCATGCATCCTGTTGAGCACGTCTCACCTTTTAGCCGAGCACGAAATCTGATCCTTGATGATTGCAAACTGCTGGGAATTGAAATTCACTGAAGTGTCAGCCTTAATTACGCAAGTCATTCCTGCTAACATTTCTCAAGGCCTACTGTGGATGCACAAAACAATGGGATGTAGTAACCACCTATGGTGATTTCGCTGGCCCATCCACCGGTTTTTTCATGCCTTGGAGCAGTGCTGGCATCCCAGTAGCTCAACTTGTGGCATCCCAGTAGTAGTTATAGCATGTTATAGCGGCCAATATACATACTGTAATTCGAGTAAATATGTGATAATAATTGATCATATATCCCTAAATTTGGCTTATAATCTATAGATTTGATATAAATTTCATTCTTCACCAAGGATCAAGGGTCCACATCAACATTGATCGGACGGCTGGTATCAGGATCGATTCAGAACGTGGTGCGCGCGAATGTTTTGCGGTACTTTTCCCGCCCAAGCGCTCTATGTTGGGAAGAGAAATGCCCAGTGGGCAGCGCAAAAAAAAGTCGGAAGGGGTTCATACGGGGCTTTCCATCATCCAGAACTTACTGTAACTATTTTAGTATTTAAATCCATGGTTTTAAGATACACCCATACCATTCTTGTATCTATTATAATGACCAATATATCATAATATATCTCTATTGAATTCTTTTTTTGTGGAATCTCAATTAGATGTAGATATGGTATGGCCTGCTATGGCCCCACAAGTCAGACTTGGCTAGACTCAGTGGCTAGACTCAGAACTTCACACCGAAAATCATGACGTTCCTGACGTCGCAGCCTGACGTTCCTGACATGGAGACTCTGGGAACTGCGAGACGCACGCGGCCACGGCCACGCCTCGGCCATTGAATCTCCACTCAGTTGGACATGCTTGGAACACGTCCAAACATGTTTTGGTGGAGTTCCTGTCTCATGGATATCTTTGTAAAATCACAAATGATTGGTTGTGAAAGTATGTTACAATATGTTAACTATCATATATTTGCAGCACATGATCTGATTGCTTCATGTTGCCTCCATTTGCCTCCCCTTTTATCGCTTCTAAATCCCTAGTACTTGGCAGTTGTCCGACGTGAAATTCGGCTGGCACCATGGCATGCCTTGGCACCTGGGCGTCGAGCCACTCATGGTTGTTGTCTACAAGATGCCCCCAAGAAACCATAGGAAAATGTGGGAAAACTGTCCTAGATTCGATGCAGTCTTGGCATCTGGGAAAACACCATGAAAACATACAAGGTGGTGCCCCCATAGTAGGGGATTTAATGGGATTTATAGCTGATTTATGATTGCGTTCAGTTGGTGCCTAAAACTAGCTCCAAGTTCACTATGGTTTTTGTAGGTAGTTAATGGTGATTATAAACCAATTTATAACTGGGGGGCACCACCTTGTACTCCTCCGTAAAAAAAGATAGAAAAGGACATTCCCACTTTAAAAATAACGATAAATCCATGATAAATCCATGTTTCCCGTCTTTTTTGGGGTTGGCTAGTTTGTAATTCCACACAAGATCAAACAAGTCATTCGCCAGAATTTTCGTTTGAGATAGTTGTTCTATCTTTTTGGGGGGAGACGTTAGATTGTCATATCTTTCAGACCAAGGCAGTGTTCCACCCTGCAGTGTCCCAACAAAAACTGCTGTGACTTCCCCGCTCCTAAGCGCGGCGTGAAAAATCGCGGATGTCCCTGCAGAGTCCAGTGGAAAAAGGTTCGTGGCATGGGATACATAGGATAATATATATATACCCTCTGGTTATTTAACATAGCCATGGAAAATGGCCCAGTTATAGATGGTTTACCGTTCTTAAACATGGGTGGATTTTCCATGGCTATGTTAGTCATCACCCGATGGTATATATATATATTATATAGAACATATAGTTATATGATATTATATGATACAATATATCAGTCCATTGACGATAATTGAGAATAGAATAGATATCTTATGGGATATTCAGGGATATACAAACCAAACACATGATGGGATATGGGTCCGCCTGAAAATGATGTATACCACCAAAATTGAGGGTTTAAATTGGGAAAATGATGATAAACCAATGGACTTTTGGGGTACCATATTTTAGACATAGCACCGCTTTTTTTGCAAGTTTCGCGTGGTTCAGTCAAGAATTTGTTGGTTGAACCTGATTGTTGTTATATATTCTAATTGAAAACCAGATTAAATCCATATTCCATGGTTAAATCCTACATTTTGCTCAACATTCCGTTGATCTTAGTTTCTTTAAATAGATTCTTGCTGATTCTTAAACCCGTTGAATCAATTGAATCCTTCATTATTGCAGTTATTTGAATCTATGGTTACCATTGATTACACCATGGAATCAGCTAAACACCATTGAATCAGTTACCCTCTGGTAAACTAACATGACTATGGAACATATTGGAAAATCACCATTTTCAATGGGAAAACTCACTATAAATGGGCATGTTCAATAACTTTTTGTATGTTTACCAGGCCGGGTAAATCATCCATGACCAATGATGGTCAAAATTAATCAAAGTTCGCTTCATGGGGATGCCCAAAAATGACGGTAAATTGGGAACATGATAAATCATTGGATCTTGATGACTTTTCCCATTGGTTGGTTGATTAATAGAGGGGTTTGTTTACCCCTTTAACAACAGGTTTCTATGATGATAGACGGTGTACCAGCTCCCGGCCCCTCTGTTTTTACCAAAAGGACATTATTGAATCATTGGATCTTGATGACTTTTTAGGGTACCATATTGTCAGACAAACCTGGCTTCACCGGTGAAAAAAGCAGGTGCTAACCGCCTCCCACGATGGCACGGCGCGGCTGTGGAACCTTGATGGGGAGTCACTTGGACCAGCTTTTAGTGTGTTTGAAAATGGGGTATATCCCAAAATAGTCCTAAAATAAATGGGAAAATACAGATAAATCAATGGATTTTGGGGTTTTCCCATGTTTTATTTCGATGAACTATGATAGTTTTGGATAAACCATTGGATTTTGAGGTACCTTGCTTTCAGACAAAGCCAAGTTTAGATGCGGAGAACCCAGCATGAATGTAGATCATGTTCCGAACGCGGAACCATATCATGCACGGCTTTTCTACATCTATGTAAACGTTGTACCCTAGGTCCCTGGGCTAATTGATTGGTCATGTTGAGTATTTGGATATCTTTGGATGGTTCCTAGTGGGGGTTCCAGAAATGGGATACCCCAATGGCTGGATGCTTGAAAAATGCTGGAAAATCCCAAAAATGGATGATGATTGGAGGTAGGCCTATGACTTAGGAAACCCCCATGTGGCAACTCCAAAACACGATGGAATTCTCAAGAATTCTCTAATTTTGGATGATTTAGCGGGTATTCGAATGATTTAAGCAACAAAAAGACGATGGTATAAACCAGCAATCCTGGGGATGCAAAAAACATGGGGATGTTGGCTGAAGATATGATGCTTGCACCAGCTAAGCAATCTGATTTTGGCATGCTGAAAATGCTGGTATACCCTAAAGTAGGAAGTATTACCCTCTGGAAATTTAACATAGCTATTGAAAATGGTGATTTATAGTGGATTTACCCATTGAAAATGGTGATTTTCCATAGTTATGTTAGTTTACCAGAGGGTAAGTTAGGAAGATGGCCAAACATCGGATGTTATGGTACTGTATGTTCAGACAAACCCTGGTCATTATTACTATGCGGATGTTTCTCAAAATGGGATGGGTCCGAAACAATGGGTCAAACAAAAACATTAAAAAAAAAACATGAGATGACTTAGGGACATTGCCATTTTATGAAACCACCAGTTCACTCTCCATATATATATATTATATATATTATATATATATATTGGGTATATTCGAATATGTCATATTGAGCCATTTCCATATTCCTGGCCTGTTTGGAGAATTCATGGGCATGGCTGGGCCGTAGATTCGGTGCAAGAAGACATGTGGATATGGCGGCTCACTAGCCAATAACTTGAGGGGGGGGCCAAACAAAGCATTTTCAGACACACCCCAGTTGGTCTATAGAGTCTATAGTTGGGTGGGCATAGTTGGGTTTAACTAAAGAAGGACAAGTCATCCAAACTCAGCCTTTTTTATCTTTTTTTTGCAGCAGTTCTGATGGTCTTTTTCGATCTTGGGCCCTCCGATCCACTGAGCAGCGATATCAACGAAGACGCTCCACTGGGAAGTGACCTGCATGGTTTCATCGTACTGGAGCTGAAGACTGTGGAAGCTTTAGCCTCGCCATTGGCGGCAATCCCAGTACTGCTTCCTGACCTTTCTGCTTGAAAAAACACACTAGAATTACTGCTTTTTGTTGGTCCAAAACAATTATAACAATTATTCAACCAATGTATAGCTATGGAACATCACCATTTCTGATAGGCAACTCATCCACAAGTGGGCCATTCCCCATCCCATTTTCCATAATTATGTCCGATTACCACAGGATAACCATTTTGAATGATTGTGTTCTTATATCAAGGTTTGAGTATAGAAAAAAACAATTGTAGTAAGCACGGTTGCCCAAAGTTTCCCCCGCATTCATCCCTTCTTTTTAGATGATTTGAGTCCCCCTATTTGGATTTGATCTCATGTTTCGTTGAAATTCCACATTGTTTGGAACATGTTTGATTTTTCAATATATTGGGAATGTCATCATCCCAACTGTTACTCACTCATATTTTTCAGAGGGGTAGGTATACCACCAACCAGATATATATATATATATGTATAATATATATATATATACACATGCCATATAATCCGATCCATAAAATCTCCATCTTCAAGCTGGGAATTTCTCCATGTCCTCAATGTCCTCTATGGATTTTTCACGAGGTGCGTGCAAGTCTTCAGAGGTCACACTGTCGGCAGCCTTGGCATCTGGGAAAAGACCATGAAAACATACAAGATGGTGATTTCATGGGATTTAATGAGACTTATATGGATTTATATGGGATTTATAGCTGATTTCTGATAGGGATCAGTTGGTGCCTAACTCCAATTTCACTATGGACCACTATGGTTTCTGTTGGTGATACAGTATATCGAACTAGTTAATGGGGATTATAAACCAACTAATATAACTGGGGGGCCACCACCTTGACCAAAACCATAGGAAGTATAGGAAAGCCATAGATTTGTGGATGAACACGGGTTTTTACGCCATGCTTTTCTGTGGAAGACGTTCTTGTTGAATCTTTTGAATTGGCATAAAAAAGCCCTGATGTTTGGCATTGAACAGATGGGAACAACCGCCACATCATTTATGGATGGACCCTGCGATGACTTTGACCGATACCCGGGTAAATTGCCAACCCGGGCAATCAAATGACTAAGCCATCCTACCTTGATCTAATGTGGGGATCAGTGATTCCATCCATTTTTTCCGGAGTGGATAGTGGCTGAAATCACGATCCTTCCATCATCAATGTATGTAGGATGTGTGGATATTGTTTTGGACATGTTTTGACCAACCAAAAAGAGTCAAGAGGTACAACAAAGTTGACGTCTCAGCATCAACAATCCTTCTTTGGATGCTGCTTTGAAAGTGTGTGTTTTCCCATTCCCTGTGACGGTTCAAGGTGAAAAACTTGGTGAGTTCTTTGACACCCTTCGGCCACTCCAATAACCTCCAACAACGCTATGAGCAACATATGAGCAACTCTTGGTTTGACTGCTTAAGGCTTAACACATCTGAATTATTCTCATCTGAATGATGATGTTTTTTGTTTATATCATGTCATTTTCTGGTATCTTTTCGCTTCAGCTTGCATCAGTTTTCCCAGCCAGAATGTCTGTTTTTTTTCTCATCCAAAGTGCCAGGCAAAGGCGGCCCAAATTTGGGGAAGTGGCTGGTGATTCTTCTGGTCCTGACACTGTTGGATTTTTAGTAGGTCAGGACGGTCAGTACATGGAATGGCCATGGAAAAAATGTGTCCAAATGACCAAATGGCTATTCCATTCAGAAATAGCTATGTACACGTCTATATACATATGTATATATATATGTATATATATATAGATATATGTCGCTTCCCCATTTTATGTCCCCACCTCTCCACGTCCTGACGCAACAAGCAGCAACCAGTGAAGCGCTGGTCTCCAAAATCCCATGGTTCCCCGTCCAGTCCAAGGCACACGTGTACCAAGCGACCTTCTCTTCAGACGGACAAAAGGCCGGGATGCGCCCGGTTTTTGTGACGATTTTTGTGCTTCAGAATTGACATGGAAGGGATTTTTTCTGAAGAATATGGGGATATATCATATGATGTATAGGAAACAGAACCTAAACATATTTTGTATATGATAAACATCTGATATATCATAAGATATTTTAATGTTTGAAATCTTGGGGGAATACGGACATGGAATAGAATCCTAGCATATTGAACATGGAACCGGATATACTGCCGATGGACATGGACAAGCCATCCTGCACCAGTTGGAAACTATAGGTATTCCTGTCAAAGACTGTAAATCCCATGGGGTTATAATTTGATGCTTACCATCTACCAACTGATGAAGGATTTCGCAACCATCCACCGTATCATGGAGATGTTGATGAACCAGAATGGGGATGTTATACATGTGATATTTCATGTGTAATCCTTCAATAATATTGTAACATCAAATCAGAATAAATATTAAAAACAACATCATAATTATAATTGTATATATACAGTAATAATACAATTCTCCCCAGCGGCCAGTTGTTTGTGTGGAAAGAAACCTGATGGTTACTGTAATTGTTGGATTCCGGGTACCCTATTCTCAAGTTTCATGAGAATCGCAACATGCCATTGATGCCTCTTAAGAAGCTTCATGTTGTGGACACGGGGCTGTTTGCAGAGGGCAACACGAGCTCGACCTTGCATCAACCGAGGTGAGCTGGCTGTTGAAGGGGTCATTCCAATTGACAATTTCTTGCCAGAAGGTTTGCCTCGGCCATTGAAATTGGGGACTTCGGCGTTCCGTGCTCTCTTCATAGGGGCCTTGCATTGGATGCAACAGCAAGAGCACTTGACAAGGAATGGGAACGGACGCCATGAGTGCCGCGAGCGCGGCCAGGTCTACTCGAAAGCGAACCAAACTTGTCGCGCGGAGCCACTTGACAAAGCCCCTATGCATTGGATGCAACAGCAACAGACGGCTTAGGTCTATGCAGAGCACTTGACAAGGTGGGAACAAGCCTGGTGATTAGCATAGACAGGTATCGGGATGACACCGCTGAGAAATGTCTGCAACACGTTGTTTTTCCTGATCCACATGTTCTTGTCCCATGCTTTGATGCAGCCAACATTGCACTCGTGGGTTGGTCCAATGATGTGGCTTTAAGCAATATGGAGCCTGGAATACTGGATCCCACAAAATCCAAGTTGGTCCAAGAGTCGGTGCCATGAGAAAATTGCTTGGGTGTTTGTCAGGACCCAGGAATACCCAGGAGGACTCATCAATTCTTCGAAGAAAATGACTGTTTTTTTCTCCCCAATGCTCCATTTTTATGCTGGAATAACCAACATTTCTGGGTCATTTTGGGGCTACCCTCTGGTTATTTAACATAGCCATGGAAGCCATGGCCCATAGAAATTATGATTTTCCCAGCGAACTAAACCTCCATTTATGGTTGGGATTTTCCATGGCGAAGTGTTGGTCATAACCAGATGGTAATTATCATTGATGATAATCAACATGGATGATAATCCCAATCAATTATGATATCAACTGATGATAATTCACATAATAATATTTAACATAGCTATTGAAAATAGCAATTTATAGTGAGTTTTCCCATTCAAAATGGTGATTTTCCATAGTTATGTTAGTCATAACCAGATGGTAAATGTTGGTGCCACTGTTCCAGTTTTGAGATCCTCCTGGGATCCCCAGACACAGATATTTTGCATCGGTGGAGAGGTCACAGCCAGCGGGCCATAGTTCTTTGGGCCTTTTTATAGACAACCACGGGCCTTCCATGGTTTTTTTGAAGGGGATGATTCCATATGGAAAAAAACATATTTGGTTTAAATTTCAAGATCTCCATCATTTCTCATATTTCATAATCTGATGTGTTTTCGATCTGAGAAATGTGAAAACCCCAACCGCAGCTAGCGATGGTCCGATGATCCCATATTCGTTTTTTTTCTTCGCCACGTTTCTTGAAGCTGAAACGGATGGTCCGAAAGGTATGTACTTGGTGGCTCATCCCACGAATCGTAGTGGATTTTTTATTGACCCCAGTTATAAATGGGATAAGTAAGGTTAATCCACTTATGACTGGGGTTATAACCCACTTACGATTTGTGGGATGAGCCACCATGTAAATGATGAAGAATTAGTAGCTACAACTTGTGGAACCAAAATGGCAACTTGATCTCTTTACCTTGTTATTTCCCCGCAAAAGTGGGCTGTTAGGAGCAAGCCTGTGGTGGGTACCTCAGATCATCATCACCTTTTTCCAGGCGAAGTATTGGCACCCACCTGAAAAATGGGTATTGAAATATCCGAAACACCAATGCCAGCAAACGCGTGACTTGATTTAAGCAACTGGAAGGTTATCATAACCTAAAGAAACCCAAGCTGGGAGCAAGTAGATCATGGAACGTGCATTTTTACGTTTTTTGTTGACAATTCAACAATGGTGATGCGACCCGGCAACCACGATTTTTTAGAATGCAAACACGTGTGATTCAAGAGCCGCACTGGAAATTCAACAAATCAAGAGATAGCACAGGTCAAATTATGTCTGGTTTAACCCAATGTTTTTAAATGAAAGACCTACTATGGTGCATAATTTGGGGTGGTCAAATCGGTCTATCGGAGGCTATGTTTTGTTGATTAAAACATATTGAAACCATGTTTCTTTTTTCAGTTGTCCATAATTCCCAGACCCATGCTTTGTACTCCATCCTTATTTGGGATGTTTAAATCCCTATAGTTGTTGCTTTGGCAACAGCCAACATGCCTAACTTAACAAGATTTGCTGGACATTGTTTACCAACATGCTTGCTATTTAGAGCTAAAAAACAATGTGTTTGGGATATTTCACAATGTTGTCTATATATTATATATATGATTATATATGATTATATGTATATATATATGATTATATATGTATAATATACACACATACAGTACTATGTAGTACTTCATGCCATTCATACCATCATGTGGTCCATTGATTTAACCACCATTTTTTCGTTTGACGAAGACATCCCCATCCTGTGGTCCCCAGTCGTGGTTTCAGCCCCAGGTTTTCTGTGTGCAAAGCATGGTCAGATCATCATTTTTCTTGGATAAAATATGATAAAATCATGATCAATGCCCTTTTTATGCACCATGTTTCCATAATTTTCCCATGAGTGTTCATGATGTTTCATTATTTTCCCATCACTTTGAATGATTTTCCCACCATTTACCACAGCTCTTTATACCTGGAATAGGTGGTCACTTGCTCTGCTGACGACAGCGCCTTGGTTTTTGACGTGACCAATGGAGAGTGCCTGCAGCGCCTTGGCGAAGAATGTTTTTGTTTTTTTTGGTGAAGACTTATATTGGGGATACCGTATACCCTTTGGTATACTAACAGTTGAAAATTGCCATTTATAGATGGTTTAGCTATTAAAAATGGTGATTTCCCATAGCTATGTTAGTTTACCAGAGGGTATAATATATTGTTATCATATAATTTTTAATGTGGGATATTCATATCATTAAATCTGATTAATGGATTATTAATGGTATATCCATATCATTATTAATGTGGGTAAAACAATAATAAACCATGCCCCAGTCATCATTTTTATCGGTGGTATGCTTACTGCACTATTACCAGTCATGGGTTGTTTATGGCATTGTTTTACCCACAGTATTGTATATCTATATCATTATTACCAGCCAAATATTTAATTATTGTATGTATATCCATATATGTTGTTATTGGATGGCATTATTCTGGAAATGAATAATGATGAATACTATTGCCATATGTAATTATTTATATATATATAACTATTTGTGAGTACTATTCCAGGATCCTGGCGACTGATCTAATGCATGTGGTAATAAGTTCAATTCTACAAATTAGATACTCATACATCCGTATTTATCATTGAATGGGATAATTCTAACAATTTTAATGGATGATGAATGGGATAATTGGGACAATATACAACAATTACCCCCTGGCAAGCATACAAAAAAACTATGGAAAATCACCATTTTCAATCCACTATAATAAGATCCAAGAAAAGAGGGCCTTACAAGGTGGGGCACCTCAGTGGCCACTTAAACCCGATATTTAAATTGATTGACAACAATATGTATATCTATCTGTCGACATCTATCTATCTAACTATCTGTCTATCTATCCATCCATAGTTATGGGATTTCAGCTTTAAACATGGAGCGATTTTGTTCTTGGAGCTGGGAAAATGCTCTTGAATATATGTTTGCTGCACTCAAAAGGGTTTCAAATAGCTTTTGGGTTTATGCAAATATAAAAATGTTCGACCTAAGTTTTGATGATTTGTCGTTGTTTTAACCAACTTATCAACGGATGTCATACTCATGAAGTTCATCACTTTTGCATGGTTAAGGACACTCGAGTTGCTTTTGGTGGTGAAGAACACATAGCGCGAAGATGCGCGAAGGGCGTTTTCTGATTTTTATTGTGCTGTCACAACACAACATGATGTGTCAAGTCTTCCCGTTTTTTTGCAGTCATATGCGTATGGATCAAGAACGGGTTACCTATTAGGAATATCACTATTCTACATCATTCTTATCTTTATCGCTGTTATGATTTCAATAAGGAACTAGACTCTAAATTTGCCTCCCCCATTTGCAGCAACAGCAACAACAACTGCGGAAACAGCTAGGGCCTCTGCGTCAAGATCCTGGTACTCTGGTGAACCGCATCATCAATCATGTTGTGGCTGGTCATTTTCCAAAACATGGCATTCATAGATGTCCTTTTGACATCCTTTTCTGGTTGGTGGTTTCAAACATGTTTTATTTTTCATTTCATATATGGGATGTCATCCTTCCCATTGACTAATATTTTTCAAGATGGTTATTGCACCACCAACCAGATAATGATTAACCATTATTAATAATAAATTATTAACCATTATTAACCACTATTAACCATTATTGTTGGATGGTTAAAACTACTATTAACCATTAAAAGTATTGATGTATGTACTGGTCCATCCCTCTATGCTATGTTCGGTGTGTCGGTATGTCGAATAGCTTTGATCCTACAAAATGAAACACGGAGGTTTTGTATTTGCGCGGTAGAAAAACAATGACAGGTGAACCCACAATAAATGAATGTGAAATGATATAAATAGAATTGCTTAATTTTGAATACGCTGCAAAAGAATTAGTTTCTATGTTTCCGAATGCTGTGTGCCCCAGAAAAAGGTTTATGTTTTTTTCCCGCAAATTCAAGAGATTGCTCGTTGCCAACATTCTCATCCTGATATGCGCATGGGCAGCCACATGTTTGATCATTTTTGTGGCTGCCCATACTGCCATACCGCTGGATCCTGGATGATCTCGGAAAACGTAGGAATATATAGCCTCTGGTAAACGTTTGCAGTGTGCGACATAGAAAATGGCCCAGTCGAAATAGTTGATTTACCGAACTGAAAAATTGTGATTTTCCAGTTCGCTATTTTAGTTTACCAGAGGGTATATATTATATATATATACATCATCATGGCAAAATACTTCTGAACATTCCACTGCCAAAAGAAATAGGGCCTGGTTTCATCCGCACTCTAGGTGTATCCAGCATAAATCCAACAATTCGTTTCTAAACCAATTGACCAAATAGTTCACAGACCTGACTGGTTCGCCATTTTGTGGATAAGTTCCCCAAAAATGGGCATTTTGGTGTATTGATTTGTAAATAGTACCCATTCTGAATTCAGTATCCTTCCTTTTTGCTGGTTAAATCATGTGAAATCTAAATTCTGTTCTTGCAGGGAAAATGAAAGAAATACCTTGAAAATCCTTGAAAAGCAGATTAATTTTTCGAACGGGTTTCACAGCACATTTTCCATACAAGGTGGTGCCCCCAGTTCTAAGTTGGTTCATAAACCCATTTGAATCTAGACATATCTAGCGACTTAAAAGTTGGTTCCGTACCTCCATTTTAGGATCCTGGAATTACCATTCATTCAATCAGATATTTTCCCAGTGGTGATATGTATCCATGAAACCCTCCTTTTCGACGCCACAATTTTGACGACGCCGAGGAGACTCACGGGCCATGCCAGTGCGGTGTATCAAGCGGTGTTCTCACCCGACGATTCCAAGGCAGTTCGGATCATGGATGAAGTGATTTTTGATGCGAAATATTCTTATAGGTACGGTATATAATTGTAATATAATTGTATATATATATATATATACATACACAATAATTTATATATATATATGTATATTATATATATATATGGGTAAATTATAGTGCCTCACTGTGACCGAGCCCTGGAATCATGGTTAGTAAGGGGAATCATCCCCAAATGGCTCTATTTCAGGCTAGTGCAATATTATAATTTACCCAGATATATGGTTGATTGAAAATGGCCGTTTGAGAGGAAACATATATGGTGATTAACAATGATCTATGATGAAATAACATGAAATAACTATTGTTATTAAACTTAAAAATGCAAAAAAATGTTTGGTTTTCGAAATCCTGCACCAGTTGGTAGATGGGCAGTTCAGTTTATCCCATGAAATAATCCCGTGATATGAATCCCAAGAGTTAGCAACTGTTGCAGGTCACCATCGACCACGCCAGATTGCCCATCCGGGCAGGTACTCACTGCCGCTGCCGACACCTTTGCAGGACTCTTTGAAGTTAGCACAGGCGACCGTGAAGCCCCGGGATCACGTGGATCTCACGATCCATTGGGGATTTCATCAACGAAAATAGGTTCATGGGGACATGATGGGAACTAAACCACCAAACCAAGAACACCATTTGTATTTAATGGGATTTCATTTGATTAGTAATGGGATTTCATTGAATGGGATTCCATTTTGATGGGATCAAAATTAAAGATTTAATGGGATTTCATTTGACGGATTTGTATTTCTCCCACCCGTTGAATTATGCATACAGACATGGCATCTTATGGCCATGAAGTGCACAAAAATCCGGGAACCATCCGATAATGTTTGGGTCTTGGTTTTGACCGTATGACTTTTTCGGTAATGCTAAACCACCAACTACAATGTGGTGCCCTACGAGGTTTTTTTGTTGGTTGGTTAAAAAACACTCTTATAGACTATAGATACATGTCCTGTAACTCCTGTAGGTTTTTTTTGGTTCTCAACCAACTTGGATAAGTATGGCGCACAGAACGTATGTTGCGCCCAGCTTTCTCCACTCGACCTGGGATTCAGAGGTGCTGGGTTTTCAGCGGCTACTCGGCTAGGTCAAGCATGGCAACGCAACAAAACAAGCCATTGACTGGTTGGTGGTTTGGAACATGAATTTTATGAATTTCCATATATTGGGAATGCCATAATCCCAAGTGACTTTCATATGTTTGGTTATCATAAGGAATTAATGTTGACGTGCTATTAATAGCACCCCCCCGGGCAAACATTAAGAGCATCAAAATAAAGTTTAGGCCAAACATTGGCCGGGGGTCCCTGGAAAATGTTCCAGACCTATGTGGCGCCGAACAAACTGCCTAATTGAAAACGAATACATAAGTGGACTTTGTTTCCAATTTAGTATTCCCAAATGAATTGCCTAATTGAAAACCATTGGACAGGAATTGAGAAACGAATCCAACCACCAAAAAATTAGACCCCTGAAATCCAAATACTTTATTTAGGGGAGTGCGAACATTCATTATTATTTCGATTTTAGTGGCTCCAGGGCTACCTGAAAAAACAAGAAAAAAACGGGAAAAAAAACAGAAAACAACGGAATTACTTTACTTCGTGTGATCCCCACCATGACATTTACACATTTTGTTACTCGCAAATCTTCTGGCATTCTATTTGGCATATCTTCTGGCATATGTTCTGGCATATCTTCTGGCATTCTATCTGGCATATCTTCTGGCATTCTATCTGGCAAATCTTATCTGGCAAATCTTCTGGCATTCTATCTGGCATATCTTCTGGCATTCTATCTGGCAAATCTTCTGGCATTCTATCTGGCATTCTATGTGGCAAATCTTCTGGCATATATTCTGACATATCTTCTGGCATTCTATCTGGCATTCTATCTGGCAAATCTTCTGGCATATGTTCTGGCATATCTTCTGGCATTCTATCTGGCATATCTTCTGGCATAATTCTGGCATATCTTCTGGCATATCTTCTGGCATATCTTCTGGCATATCTTCTGGCATATCTATCTGGCATATCTTCTGGCATATTTTCTGGCATTCTATCTGGCAAATCTTCTGGCATTCTATCTGGCATTCTATCTGGCATATCTTCTGGCATTTATCTGGCATTCTATCTGGCATATCTTCTGGCATATCTTCTGGCATATTCTTTCTGACATTCTTTCTAACTTTCTTCTGCACATTCTTTGTCCCATATCTTCCTACATGAGGTCCGGCAGGGAACACTTGGCGTGGATACTCGCGGTTGAGGTCCGGCAGGGAACACTGGGCGTGGATGGTCGTGGTTGAGGTCCGGCAGGGAACACTGGGCGTGGATGGTCGTGGTTGAGGTCCGGCAGGGAACACTGGGCGTGGATGGTCGTGGTGGAGGTCCGACAGAGAACACTGTGGATCGCGAGTCGCAGTTGAGCAGGAGGACGAGGAGGACAACGAGAGGAGGAGGAGGAGGAGAGGAGGAGGAGGAGGAGCAGGAGGAGGCAACTGACATAAAATCTAACAACCCTCACCTGGCAGGTGGGGAACAAAACAAAACGGGAAAAACGGAACAAAACAGGAAAAAAACGGGAAAAACAAACGGACACAAAAACATAATACTATATTACGGTGGGGGGGGTGGTATTAATATTTCCTGGGATTGGGCGGCGTACTTGCGGGGGGTTCTTTAATAGCACCCGGACATTATACTACAGCGGAACCGTTAGATAAGAACCGATTATATAAGAATTTTCCAGCCTACCCTGGGGTTCTTAAGTGCTGTAGGTGGAAAATATGGGAATGATGAACGAGGGTACCCTCAAGTTCTTAACGGGTTGGTTCTTAAGGGGTTCATATGGTGAGGGTTTTGCCAATTGATTTTGGCGTGGTATTGGTAATACGGTATTAGGTATTAGGTTGCAAAGGAGGCGGGGGAAGAAAAAATTTTTTTAGATCCCGAAAAGTTTTTTCAGGTGCAGGCGACAAGGCAGCACAGGCAAGACAAGCCAAGACAAACCAAACACAAGCCAAGGGCAGCACCTGAAGTCAGATGGCCCCTAGTGCGTCCGGTTAGCGTCATGCTCAGGCTGTTGTGGTCATATTTGCTAGCTGTATTGGGGTTCGAGTCCCTGTGGCGCTGGCGCTTTGCTTGCTTCTTGCGTGCTTGCTTCTTGCTTTCATATATCAATGGTCAATGTTTGGTATATTGATACCCGTTAAAGGGGATTGGGAATTATGAACTAAGTAGGGAACAGTGAAGCCTATCAACCAACTAGTATATGAGATGTGATAAGGGTCGGGTATGCTTAATGTCTAATTATGTGTAAGTGGAACTTGCCGACTTTCTTTTGTTGTGACTTGAAATGGGCGTTCAACTCAGTTTGTATCCAGTGGTGCGCAGGGAGCTAAGTGTTTGGAGGACTATCCCGCATAAGTGGCGTTTTAACCTGCTTATTATACTGGAAATTGCTGTAAGTTGGATAATCCAGGAGATTGGGACTTACGATTACCAGTTTTATTCGGCAATTCTCCCCTTTATCATTTCCTTCTGATTTCATCCAGATTTTTTGTGAAACACCTGCATTTTGGTAGGTAGACTGAAATGAACTCAGATTGAAGTTTCCATAGTCATGGGGTACCCCCAAATCATCCATTCAAAAGTCGGATTTTCATCAACCATCCAGCTATTTGGATATGTTGGGGTACCCTCAGGCAAGCTAACATAGCTATTGAAAATTGCCATTTATTTATCATGGAATTTATCAGCATGTTGCATTACATGTAACATGAGTCATGACATGTACTTTACTTCGACATGAAAAATACTTTCAGCATGAAATGCATATTTCCATTAATATGTTCAGATTCAGAATACTTTGTCGTCCCAACCCTCAACTCCGTTGTTTTCCCACCCATTTAGTCAATGAGTTACCTGGCCCAACTTTGCAACAGCTTTTTCGCCTTGTTCTGCTTACACAAGGGCACATCGCCCGACTTGACCGCGGGCCATTCGAGCAATGCAGTCGTTGGAGATTGCGGCAACGCAAACATCGCTCCAAGTCAAATACAGCTTGTACCCTGAGTGACCAAGTCAACATACTGCCTTTCTTGGGGTTCCAAAACACGGATTGCTTGGTCAATGACTTTATCATGCCAATGCAGCCCACTTTGAACTTCCATCTGTGCCCGAGCCTGGAAGCATGTAACACCAAATGGTGTCCTTGGGACGAAGTGTTAGATAGCAATAAGAGGGTCCATTTCCTCATTGCTGAGCCAGCTTTGTACCACCGCATGGCAGATTTTGCCTCCCGCCACAACATCGACATCACCCTCTCGACCTCCAATGAACCGGAGCGCAACGTGACAGCATATGTTGAATTACATTTGCTTTCACACGTGGAGACGGTAGAGCTCCTCGGGAGGCTCTATCGTGAATTCCGTACCGAGCGGCTGCTGAGTTGGAGACACATGTTTTGAGTTGACAGATTTATACATGAACACAGCATGATACGGGAATACATACGCAGTTGAGGTTCGAGGAAACGTAGTGTCATTTCAAGGGTAGGTTCGAGGCCACATTGCAGTGGAACAAATAAAATCCATATATTGCCCCACTATATGGAAACCTCCATATTTTGGATAGCAAAAAACGGATGGTCTCCACCGGTTGCCAGGCTCCTTCCTGAAATATTTCGCTGAGCATCGCTTGGCTGCTGCTGGGCGAAAATTACGGTTCTACCGTTGGCGAAGCCAAGGTAAACATAAAACAACTAGGCTCAGTGTTGGAATTATCGGGAAATATCATGAAATATCTATATATGATACTCTCTGGTAAGCTAACATAGCTCTAGAAAATCACCATGTTGAATAGGTAAATCAACTATAAATCGAGTATGTTCAATAGCTATGTTAAAATCCCAGAGGGTATATGGTTAAAAGATGTTAAAAGGGGTTTTGCAATGTTCTACACTGGCGGGTGCTTTATGTGTGAAGCGGGTTCCAAAATGGATCTAGTACATGTCACCAGGGTTTCTTTTTTCGAGGTATTTCTAGGGTGAAGGGACTACTTACTCACCGTCTAAACATGTCTAACACTGTTGTAGATTAATGTAGATTGTATATCCTTCAGATTATTTCAGTGATGGCTTATGAAGCACCTACTAGTTCGGTTGCACCCTCAAATGGTTGGTTGATCACCCGTAACCATTTGGTAGAATCTATTTGTCGCCATCAAGCATCAGAGAGCATCCCAGTTAGTAACTGGGACATCAAAAATTGTAACCATTTTGTAATCTACAGTAGCAAGAAACATCCCCAGTCACGGAAAACATCCAAGAGAGCAGCAACCAAATCTTGACTGATACCTCTCTATGGCGGAGGGCATTTTTATCACTGCGGGATGGGTCAAACACAGAGTCCTTGGAAGAGTTCCAGTTCCCCCCCTACTGTGGATGGGCCAGCGAAATCCGGAAAACCAGTTGATAGATGGTAAACATCCCAATGGTTTATCCCATTATTGATAGGGTTTCAAGCATCCGTTTGGTGGCGCAGGATTTTGCAACCGTACTATTGGATACCACCCCAAAATGATTCGATCGATTGGTATACGGATCGTGTCATTGTGTAGAATGGCACTATTCTGGACAGCTCATCCATTCCCCAGGATGATCCTCAAAATCAACCCGTAGTGGTGGCTTGTGAAACCTTCCTTCCAAAAACTTATATATATAATTATATATATATATATTATAGTTACATATATATATAATATAATTATAAATATGTAAGACAATTGTTCCTGTTGGTCAATCTACTGGAAACCCTTCAGTTCAACGTCCAACACTCCACAGCTCGCTTCGACCGAGAACGCAAGGTTCACAGTGTTGCCTTTTCGGGAGATGGATCCAAGGCTGCAGTCCGGAAGATTGGGCCCCCTCCAGGGCGTAAACTTCCATGGCTTAAGTTCCAGTTGCCCATTCTTTGCTAGGTCAATCGGCTGGATGGGTACAAACTAATCCTTTAGTCTCCTGGTATCAATGGGATTATCTACGTTCAGCTGCTAAGAATTTATTTGTTTGCAGGGTATCTAAGATTGGCCATGCTTTGGCCCTGAGTAAAGCCACCTAATAACATGACTTGAATCATGAATTCTTTGTTGGAAGTGGCCATTTCTATAGGGTGTTCTGGAGTTCCAAGCTTAAAAGGGGTGCAACCTACTGATCCACAAAAGCGGCATATCATGCTGGACTGGATCATCCGATTAACTGGGCTGAGAATTGCCATAAGTTGGGGAAATACACCATATTCAGACGCACCAGTTGCTCAGGAAATGGAGGATGTTTCAAAGGTCCGTGCAGCATGGCTGGAATTACCAGGTGTGGCTGCACCAGCAACCAACTTTTTTCACAGCTGACGAGTTGGACCGAAGATTTGCTGCGGCGCCATCCAAGAGGAGAGCAACAGCCAAGTTTAGAGGATGGGTCAAAGCCGATGAACGGGAGAATGAGCACAAGCTGTTATTAAACTGTTTAGAAATGCCAGTTATTCGAGGTATCTGGGTTTTGATCCATTGCCACATAAAGCGATGCATTATGTGTGTATATATATATACATTGTATATGTATATATATATATGTATGTATATATATATATATATTTGTTTATGTATGTATATATATATATATGCACAAATAATGTTGCAACAATGGATACAATTGTGGATTTACCACTATCTACCAGGCATATGGTTGAAGATGTTGAAGAAGCCTTTGCCAAAACTCATAGTCATATGGTGGCATTTGCACATCACAATTTCTTCCTTCCATAGCCATTGAACCTGTCCATTCCTTTCCCTGAATTGGATGAAGGTCTTCATTCTACAGGAAGAGGTCCCCCAATGATAAATCGGTTTATGACCCCATTTAACTGTAGATGTATCTATACCATTCTATACCACTATCTATCAGAAACAATAATTAGTTGGCCTAGTTATAAACCCACTTGCCAATAATATATATATATATATATATGTATAATAGTTTATTTATATCGTAAACCAACTAGTCAATCCACTTATTTGATGGTTAAATCCTCATGTTTGATGTTTTCACCATCACCAGGTGCTCACGGCCGGAGACGATCGAGCGGTCAGGTGGCAGTGGCGTAGTTTTTTGTTAGCTAAGTCAGCTGGTGAACATAGCTCCAATAAGTTAGGTTAAGATATATCTATACTTAATGGGGTTGATAAAGCAACTTGTAAGTGGGGCACCACCTTGTAGCTAAGATACTAATATGTGTATATTGTATATCCCTAGACCCTCCAAACACCCCCAAGGCATGGTCATGTTTAAGGCTACTTGGAGGGTCTAGGTATGTTATATATATATATATGTATATATATATATATGTATATATACATATGCACACGTATGTCTATACATACCACATAGCTAATTATACACAAGACGGGTGATGGAGATAAGTAGATGTATTTTGCACATATTCTATAAGTGCGTGAAGAAACCATAGTGGTAGTATCAACCTACCAGCTTAGGACTGCACATCCCAGCAGTCCTTGGGTGGTCTGAACCATAGGGCTATATGCACATTTATATATTATATAATATAATTTAATTTAACTTAATACAATATAGTTTAATTTAACTTAATATAATATAACAGAATTTAATATAATATCATATATAGTATAATATAGTATAATATAATATAATATAATATAATACTGTAAAATAATTTTTATATAATATAATATAATATAATATATTATAATATAATACAATACAATAATATATAATTATATATATATGATATACATATAAGTAACTATATTTATATATACATGCACCCTGTATATATATATATATTATAGACAACAAGCCCTGACATAGATATAAATATACATAGGCAGGTGAAAATCTGTAAAATTCCAAGACCCAGCAACCAAAACATGTTAAACAATGATTGGCCATCTCAGTCTTTTGGCATACAGATACAGTACCTGGACGCAACAAGCCAGTTGCGAGGACGAGTCAGGACATGTCAGGCATCCAAAAAGTGGTGGCTTTTTGAAGATCTTCGAAACCTACCCTCTGGTTATGACTAACATAGCCATGGAAAATCACCATGTTTAATAGGTAAACCATCTATTTTCATGGGCCATTTCCCATGGCAAACTGTTAAATAACCCAGATCTAAGACTTCGAAACCTAATCTCTCCCAGATTTACCATCTAGTTATTTAACCATGTCTAAGATATGAAAGTCCCCAATTGTTATCCCCCAGTTGTGGCCGGCATCACCAAAAAGGCCAAGCCCGACTCATCGCAGCTGTTTGGTTCGTCCTTCGGGCCCGTGGAGGTTTCAGGATGGCCGCGCAGGAGCGCCCCGTGTTGGTGTTGTCTATTTTCCTACAGTGGATGGTTGCGAAATCTTGCACCACCAAACGGATGGTTGAAACCTTATAAATAATGGGATAAACCTGCAGGAGTTCGCACCCATCCACAGTATCAGGTACTGTAACCACCGGGAAACATTTGGGAATGGTATCTTGATGTATCTTGTTTGACCCTCCCAAAAAAAGGTCTTGAAGCAAGTCCCAGGTTACCTTCGGTTGTGACAAGAACAGTGAATCGATGTTTAACCATCAATCAGTTGGTTATCCCATTCTATTCCGTTACTTATGGGGAAGTTAGTTATCCCATGCTACTACATGGTATTTGGTACTAACCCCCATAAGTTGGGATAACATGACAAACCCCAAAGTGGTGGTGGTGGTTATACCATGACTAATCCCAACTGCACCCCGCGAAGTATTTCGGATGCAATTTGTCTGACCCTGTCGAGGCCCTGCGGCGCGGTTCAAACACACCGCTGCGCAGGTAGCGGGGTCCTTCTGGCGCAAAAAAAACCGGAGATATCGAGAGCAAGAGACAACATAGATACTACATGGAAAAGATATGTTACTGTCATCATATATCGAACTAGTTGATGGGGTTGTAAACTCAGTTATAATTGGAGGTGGCACATCCAGATATGCACAGTAAGTACCCTCTGGTATTTAACATAGCCATGGAAAATGGTCCATAGAAATAGATGTTTTTCCTATTAAAAATGGTGATTTTCCATGGCTATGATAAATAACCAGAGGGTATATATGATATGATATTAATATGTATAAATCAACTTGAGCAGAATTAGTGGATTCAATTCAACCATGAACAAACTTGGAACAATTGATCACCAAACATTGGGGTTACAGTAAGGGTCTTCAGTGAAATAGGGATGTCTTCAGGCTGTCAGTACCTCTGCCCAGTTTGGCATGCACAAAGCAACCCATATTCACCCCAACAGAGCTTGTTTTTTGCTTGGTTTCATGATGAAAATCATAACATAAATTCAGGGAAAAATCCAAGGTTAGCATATAGATGATAAATTAATTACCCATAGGATCCGTGGTGCTGGTATATATACTAACATTGGGGGTATATTGATGGGATCCATGTAACCATATATAGCAGCACCATGGATCCTATGTTTCTAGCCTCTAGCAATGATTCGCCACACTTCTTTTTGGTTAAGATGCCCATCGTGGGGGTTCTTGTTGAACATCCCTCCCATGATGTCACCCTTTTTCTTGGCAAAGTTCGCAGGTTGGCATTTGCCAGACCAGGCGTGGTGGGGAAACGCATTAAAACAAGCCTGACTTTACTTTGGTATAAATTTTAAGTAGTAGCAATGGTACATCACCAGTCACCCTTTTGATAGGTAAATCATCAAAATACATGGGCCACTGATACCAAAGCTATGTAACAATTACCAGAGGCTACAGAATGTGTGGAATCACACATTCTCCAGATCGTGTTGGCAAGTAGCTGGGCACATTGTTTGGGTCCCCGAAAACAGGTAGATGAACATCTGCTAGATATTCCATGTTTTTCATTTTCAAAGGATGTTCATCAAGGTTTATGGTTTTAAAAGCAGTCACTGCTATCCAATGTTGAACATATATAATTCAGCCACATATTTTGTTCCTTCCAGTGTCATTTTTAACTTGGGGCCTCATTAAAAAAACACCAGTTTCCCAAATCTTTCATAAACCGAAAATCCAGACTTTCCTGGTTGAATGATGGCTCTAAATCCACAAGTTCCATCAATTTCCTGGATTTCTTCCATCTTTGATGGGTTTTGAGTCAAATCTCCAGCATTTTCTCCTGGAGTTGGATGTTGTTCCGTGGGTTTTCCATGGTGAAATCATGTTTTCCATCCATAATTTGCCATGTTTTCTTCTTACTGATGCTAAACGTAGGGAATTTTCGGGAATGATCCACAATAGCAAACTATCAATTTCATCATCCCAACAACCCATCCAGCAACCCATCCAGCAACCCTACGTAAAAAGCGCACCAGGGCGATGAAACTTCCAGTACTGTATTGAGGCGCTTTGAGATACCTTAGCCTGTCTCCGTGGTCCCTCAGTCGGGGTCCCGAGTCGCAACCGTCGCCAAGATTTAAGAGGATTCTGATGGGAATTGATGGGATTTCAGTGGGATTTCACGAGATTTTGATGGGATTTGATGGGAATGAAAACAGTGGGAACGGATGATAATGGCGAGTGTAACCATTTAATAATTTAATACGGGGAATATATAATTGGAATATGAGCGGGATATATACGTGTATATATATATATATATATTCAATATTAATCATGCCTTTTCCTTGGGGATGCAGTCGGGGTTCTTAAGGGGTACATCTAACTATGAATGATAAATTGGCAAGACCTAGCATTGCCAGGTCCTGATACTTAAAACCATTACAGCTGGGGGTTGTATCAGGTTGTCATAATACTATCCACGCTACGTTTGTGAACTCTTCAGTTTCACTTCCTTCCTTTTGTTGGAACAACACAGCATTCTATGAGGATATGTAAGGCCTAGCGCATAGCAATGTTTTTTCTTTTAGCAGTTTTTTTTTTAGCAGGCAAATATGGTCAACATGAAGTTTTGGGGTACCTCAGATTGACTCAAGAGATTCGCAAAAGGATAGACCAGTTCTACAGGAAATCATCCCCCTTTCTTGTTTGGTTGCCACGTCCCGATTTGCAGCCATATCCACGTGTGCAAGGGTCAAATTGGATGCTTTGCTGCTCGAAATGATCAACATACGTATCTCCCAGAAGTCTCAGAATCTGAAGTTTGGAACCGACCCCAAGTTTTGCAGATACCAGATTCGCCTGCAATTGTGGGATGTGAGAGAACCATCATTGGGTGAGTCGTGCCATATAATTTGTAGGTATATGACGGTATATGGCCACAACTGTATCCTAATTTATGGGGTGTTTCAAAAAAACACAATGTTTTTACTACCATAAGAAACATCCCTGGCCTGCACCAGCAAGTTGATTTCCCTCGTGTTTTTCCTTTTGAATTTCCAATTTTAGTTAGGCGATTCACCACCATTTTGGGGGGGCAAATCAACAGTAATCATCCATTTACCATCCATTTGCGGCCTCAATTCTTCCATGTGCTTTATTCCATATGTCGTGAACGACGCAAAAACACAAAAAAAAAAACAAAAAAACAAAATGAGTTTACCTTCGTATATTTACCATGAGTTTTGCCATAGTTTTTGATATGTTTCCCAAGGAAGATCCATTTTTTTTACAGCCACCTGGAGCACCTCACCATGGACGGCCATGCGATCCGCAACTGCCTTTCTCGGCCTGGCCCTGGCTTTCGCAACAAGCTTTGCCCCTTGCCTTCAATCCCTGGGCAAATTCAAAATTTGGACCATCCTTTTGCAAGGCCTTGTAGATATATATGTATGTATATATATATATACACACACACCGTATATAGTATATCTATATCTATATATTATACTTTAATAAATATATATATTTATATTTATATCATACTATATATATATATATATTATATATACACATATCATACTATATCTGAATTTCACAATCATCCAATCCATTTTTTTCCCTCGAATTTGGGGAATGTAGCCTTTGGTGATTTAAGATAGCTGCTAGCTATGAAAAATGGTTTGTTTATAGATGATAAACATGATGGTTTTTTACTAACAAGTGGGTTGTCAACGGGAATAACTATGGTATTAACTTCCGAAAGTTGGAAGAGAACTCCTACAACTATCCCATAGAATCCATGTATGCTATATATGGTAACATTTACCATCAATATACCCCCAATGTTAGCATATATACCATACATGGGTCCTATGGGTATGGTGAACTATAACTATAACCTACAATTAGTAGAACTGCGGTCGCAAGTGATTTTTGTGGGGTTTCCTTCGAAATTTGGTGAATAAAAAACCATCTACTTCATAGAATCTGAATGGATATATTGATGGAATATACCATGGATTTAATGTGGATATGAATTTGGGGGACCAACAATGAATGGAAGCAATTGGGGAATAAAGAAATGGCTATACAACCGACGCTTTGAAAACGGGTGTCTGAAAATAGGGGGTTAGCTACGCCAAAAAGTGGGGACATTTTTTGGGAAGTTCAAAATATATGAATGGAGGTTAGCTACGAAAGATATGGGATATAGAACCGGAATTGGGATCTAATGGGATGTAAATATGAGATATATAAGCACAAAACAGGGGGGTTCCTGAAACTGGAGACCCCAAAGCTATGTAAATATCCTCATTTCTCCTTGAGAACCAATGGTTTGGGGTACCCCAATTTTTAAACACCCAATGTGGGTTGAGAATACACCATTTTCATCCCACTCATTTTGCGGCACATGTTCAAGTATCACCAAAATCCCATTTCAAAAGTGAATATGAATACGGTATATATATATATGTGAATAAAGAGATCCCCCAAATGGCAAGGACACATCCGACATTGACATGCAGGGCGATGTCAGGGACCTGGACTTTGCGACCATTGTGTGCAAGCTGAGAGGGTAAACGTACACCACGGATCATCGGGAAGATACAGCAGGGCACGTGCAGAGAAGCAGCTTGATGGTCTGCATATGTTCTTGCGAAAGCACGGTCTAAATCTGGTTGGTGGTGACTGGAACCATGGAATTTTATGACGTTCCATTCAGTTGGGAATGGAAAATCATCCCAACTGGCGAACTCCATCATTTTTCAGAGGGGTAGGGCGAAAAACCACCAACCAGAAAAAAGGCCCAAAAGTGGAGTCGATGAAACCACCAGAAGGTCCTGGGTCAACCCACTTTAGGGTGTCCCAGAGGCGTGTCCATCTCGGGATGTGCATCACACGAATCCGATAGGTGGCTAATAACTCTCTAGGCCAGTGAGATTTTACTATAATTATATATATATATGGAAATATCATCAGTTGTATGCACTATATAGGGGTTATAGTTATACACCATTTACTAACTGGGATACAGTCCCAAGGAATATATTCAATATCCCTTAGATCCCTTAGAAACCCTGGTTTGGTATTGTATCTGTTCATTTTGGGGTCCATATCAGCAATATGGTGGTATTTGATATTAGGGGGTAGGATTACTCAAAATGACCAAACATGGACTTCAATTTCGACCCATGTCGATGATTTGAGTTGAATTTAGTAGTTGCACTAAACACCGGTAATTTAATACATAGCTTTAGAAAATGTGGAACATGGCCCATTGATCCATGATTTAGCTATGAAACATTGTGATTTTCTATATGTTTTCATTGTTTTTCCATAGCAACCTGTGGTTTTCTAGAGGTGCATCGAATGTGATCCTGACAGGTGGGAGCCACAGAAAGCACACTTTTTTGTGGGTTCTTTTTTAAGTTTGCTATGAATGGGGATATATGTGTATAACATATATATATATATATGTATAATATCTATATATATATATATGTCTATAGCGACGGACATATAGTTAGAACATCAATTTTTCCAAAATTTCGGAACCTCCTCTTAGAACATCAAAATTACCATACTTAGAACATCAGAAATGTTTCTAAGCGCACTTAGAACATCAGAAAAACAGATACTTAGAACATCTCCTTTGATTTTTGCATACTTAGAACATTAAAACACACATATACTTAGAACATGTCCTGTTACTTTGGTAAATCTGCATATATACACACAAATACCTTGGTGAACTCCATACTTAGAACACTTTCTCCCCTCACTGCTGCAGCATTCTATACCTTTTCTTCGGGAACAATATCCCAAGCAGTCTTCGCTGCAATGGGAAGGTCTCTAGTAATTTGTGGGTTTCCTACAGGGGGTAGTCAAAAAGTATAGGTTTCAATACTAAAATGAGCTAAAATGAATTATGTATAATTTTGAATGTATATGTATGGTTCCCATCGGTTCCCCACTGGGATGTTCTAAGTATGGCTTGGAAATGTTCTAAGTATAGGTTTTGGGTATGTTCTAACTACTTTTTTTGAAACCCATACTTAGAACATCCCCGCTGTGACGATTTTCAGATTTTTTTTCCAAATGATGTTCTAAGTATTTGTCCGTCGCTATATATAATATATATATATATATAACTATATAACTTACATAAGAATGTACCCAATGGACAGATGCAAATCCGTTCTCAAGACCAGCATTTCCCATTTAGCTATCGCTTGAACTTGGATCAAACTCGCTTAGGTATGCCATGTATCTTGGACGTCGCTGGACGAAGAATTGGGAACACGATGGGTCGATTATAATCCCATCCTATTGGTGAATGGCATATATACCCTCTGGTGAACTAACATAACATAACATAACTATGGAAAATCACCATTGTTTAATAGGTAAACCATCTATTTCTATGGGCCATTTCCCATGGCTATGTTGAATAACCAGAGGGTATATATAATATTGTTATTATTAATGCTGTTATATATATATATATATCCAATCTGTTATTTTTAGTATTATTTAATGTTTATTGTTGTTATTATTTATTTTATTATTGTTATAATATATATATATATATTGGGATGTAGGTATGTATGAAATAGGTATGATTGGGGTTAATTGGGATTATTATTTGTTGGAGATAATCCCAACACCGCCATTTTTAATGGCTCCAAATATATGTGATTTTGTCCCCGCTTCTTGCTACCATTGTTTCTGGTGGATTGCATGTGAACGGGGGATGGGATTCAACGGAGTATGGCAGTGGGTCTGGTTCAAAAATCGAGGCCCAACAAAATTGCGGATGATCAATGCGTGGGATGACTGTAATCATCCAATTTCATTGGTCATTTCCATACCGAGGGAGCGAATGTGATGCCACCATTTTCATGGCTGAAGTATTCAGGTTAAGCTGTTGATAGTTAATAGCCAAGAAATTTGCAACTTGTCCTGATGTAACCCTGATGTGTTTTGAGATCAATGCGTCGTCAGTTGGATGATTTTCTGTCAGATGGGATGCGAAGCAACACAGGGATAAACTCAGCAAGGAACGGAGCAATGTATGTGATGAAAACGGACAAGAAAAATCAAGAAAACACAACAAAACATCATGACATAGGTTTGGATGGTGGCGAAATCCTGCACCAGTTGATAGGTGGTAAACATCCCATTATTTATAGGGTTTCAACCATAGGTGGTTTATCGGATTTCGCTGGCCCATAGTAGGCATTTGGGCTCCAACAGATCGTAATCATTGTATGCTCTACAGAAATATCCAACAGATCGCAACATATTTCTGTATAGCACATCAGTAAATGATCCATATAGTATCTAGTAACTATAGTATCTGTATAGTATCTATAGTTAATCATGTCATTATAGATCCATATTACGTAACTATAATAGTATGTATTTAAAGCAAAGATTCTTTACATGAAACCTTCTGACACTGTGGGTCGAAAATGGTGGAATTATCCCATGTTCATCATCGACAAGCCACTGTGGATATCATCAAATCGTACACCTTCCCATAACTGACTCAAGATTTGCCTATTGAAGAATTGGGAGCTTCCAACACATATGATGAAAAAAAAGAGTATTGCCACTTACGTTACATCAACACATGAATAGTTCATAAGGATGAAGCCAGATATTTTGCCATGAATGCCAAACATTCACCTGAATCTACTGCACGACTTCACTCCCCCATTTTCAAAACGGGCGTTACGTTACGAATTTCATGGGGATCAGCCGGGCAATGCCCAGGTTTCCCTTAGATCCACGCTGTCGGTCTTTGAATCTGATTGCTTCCAGCACGTGCCCGTTGAAAAAGTCTGCCAAGGCTTCCCTTGGGGCACTTGGGACCTTGTGGCATAGTAACACTTTTATTGGTATTAACATGTATTAACTCTGGTTTTTTGTTTGAAAAAAATCTTTGTGATGGTTACAGCCAAGCTGTATTTTTGAAAATGTTGATATGATGATTATGATAGTTGAGATAGGGGAACAAACACATCTATCAATGGGGGTATAGAAGAGTATTTGGGGTTTCAATGGGTATCACGTGGTATAGCCACAGTCATGGCCATTTACCAGTTATAACTACTAACTTAAAACCCCATTTCTAGAATGTATAATCCCAGTTATTTCATCAGTTATAGCCTATATTTATGGTCATCACTGCAGAAGTTTTTCTAACTAACTTCCATAGCGACATCACCTCCCAGCCGTGGACATATCTGGATCCATGGAACCGCGCTGCTCAGTTGGTTGAAGGCCAGAATCATGTTGAATCTCTATGACTTAGTTGTTTAGATTCGGGTGAAAATATGTGAAAATCGAATTTGAAGGCCAAGATCCGAAAAAGATCTGCTAGTTTCCTCATATCTAGGTCAATCGACTGGATGGGTACAAACTATATAATCCTAACTAGTCTTTTGGCATCTGGCTGGGAATATCTACGTTCACCATCTAAGACGTTGTCATTTGTTGCAGGGTATCTGGCTGATTGGCCATGCCTGTGATATCCTGTGATCATCTCTAAGGGGCCCTACTGGATTCAGGTGAAATCACCTACGCCGACTGGGATGAACCAAAAAAAAACTGTGATTTATTACGATACTGGAATGTAATATGATATATCACTTGGTATGAATACTTGTATGTGATAAATTAATTTCAGATCATCCAACTGGGTTTAGAATTTATAAGGATACTTGGATGTACAGCAGGTAATATGCGGCAGAATTTTGTACCATTTCTCCATAGATGGTATAGCTTGTAGCCCAAGTGATCACTGATTCGAGGTACATGGCCCAGTCGGATTTCTGGCGCTTGGCGCCGCGACCAGGTGTACGAGCACCCAGGTGCGCCAAAGCAGTAGGATGCGAGAGACAGAAAAGAAATCGTGATATTGGGAAGTTTATTTATATGATGATAATAGCAATATACTTAATAAGTAATTTTATATAGATATACTTATACCATAACACTTCCAATCCATAATAGTTCATATGAATCATGTTGGTGATAGAGAAGTGATTATCCCTTACATTTCTCATTCCATCTTAGATTGGAGGGAAGCAACACACTTTTGACCATCATTCATATGATACTATACATAGGGAACCGCAAAAACAGGGACATCGATCCATCAAGGTTGTTCAGCCCTAGTTATAGTTAAGTTGGTTTACAAGCAGCTTAGACTATAGGGATCTTTTTGGGGCTTAAAGTCGATATTAGCCTCTGGTAAACGTTTACATAACTATGGAAAGATCCACCGTTTTTAATGGGAAAACTCACTATAAATGGGCATTTTCAATAGCAAACTGTTAGTTTACCAGAGGGTGCTCTAGGTGGATGGTTTTATAAACCAACAAACATAGGTGGTATCACCATGATCCTGGTTTCTCCCCATTATCGTGCTCAGCTCCCTGAGGAATCTTGCCAATGTCAATGTCTAAGAACAACACCTATTTATCTCCAAATGATTTCCAAATTCACCATGGCTCAATAATGAACTCAGTTTCTTAGTATGTTTCAATGAATTTCCAAATCATTTCAATAAGTTTCAATGTATTTGTTTAATTTTGTTTATGGATCAGCAATTTCTTAGGCCACCTCGCTGTCAGGAACGATACTGAGCTGGCGCCCCATTGTTTGGTACAGGGCTTGCGGAGGGCGCAGGCACCGGTGGTACCTCGACAGCTGGATCCATGGATACCCCAACTGGATGGTGATGGAAGAGCCCCACACGAATGGATGATTTGCGGGTACCCCATGACTATGGAAACGTACGGAACTAGTGAAAATTTGTGGAAGAATTGAACTTTCATAGTGATAGGTATTCCAATGTTCGTTCAATCTCAGGAATCTTTGAGGAATACTTAGATCTGAATAGGGACGAAATACTTCAATCTGATTGCTTTGGAGTTAAACATGAAGCCAGACATGGTGATCCTGGATTTGCATGGATTTGCTAGTGAGAATCTGATTGCAATAGGCATGATTCTTATGACCGCAAAAGAAGCAAATCCCAGTGATTGAGCAATATATTTTGTGATTTATCTAATGAGGGGCATGGACAATCACAAAAACTGGAGGTTTGTTGCAACGAAAACACATAGGGTTTAAAACCATTTACCATTGGAATTTCAACTGTGTTTGCCCTTTTGCAATTTAATTTAAGAAATCGTGAACCATGTGGAGGGATATACGAAATGGTGAAGGAACATCACTGGCCAAAACGCAGGGAGAAATCCCACTGGGAATCTAACACGGCAATGACATTTTTTCGAGGTAGATCATCTACCAAAGGGTGATTGCCCATCGCCATGAGTGCTTGGCAGAATGGGAACGACATCTGATAGGAAACAATTTTTTGTCCACTGCTGGAATCCTGTAAAACCCTGTTGAACCATTCCTACTCAAAACATCTTTTCTTCACTCTACGGATATGTGCTAATATGTGCTTAAAAAAACAGAAAACCCGCGAATATTGAATGTATATAATATGCTTATAGGAATGCATATTCCAAGACTATCCAATCTGATTGGTTAGGAAACCATTCATACATGCTATGGGGCATATTGTTTGATATGCTACGGACATCCCAGTGGATGAAATCCTAAAGCTGCCACTGTGAAGGTTTTATGCAAGCTAAATGGGCTTGTGAAATGCTGGACAATTGCTATGCTGGTTGGTGGTTTGGAACATGGCTTTTATGACTTTCCATATATTGGGAATGTCATCATCCCAACTGACGAACTCATATTTTTCAGAGGGGTAGGTATACGATCAACCAGCTATGGTCAGGTTCTGTGTCACTCCTCGGGAACTTCAATCCTGTAGTTTTTTGGTATCTGGCTGGGATTATCTACGTTCACCAGCTAAGAAATCGTTTTTTGTTGCAGGGTATATCTGGCAGTGTGTCAAAACCTTGTACCCCTGGTGAACATCAAAATAGCTGGTAAATGGATGTTCATCCCACTAAAAATGGTATCTATAGGTATTGATCCATACCCATCTAAGATTGGCCATGAAAAAATCTTGAAGAATGGATTTGCCCATGTTCGGACCATGACTATCTTTTACTCATTACGACTGCAACCATTGATGATCCCGTTTGTGACACCTGTGGTAGTCAAACATGTGTGCTAAGATCCCCCATTGATCGATTATTTTCTTATATAAACGGTTTGGGTTTCCAACCATTTATATCCATTTATAGGATAATTCATGATATTTCTTACCATTTTTAGGGGATTTCCCTTACCTTTTTGATTTCCACTGGAGATTTCCTTACGCATTTCCAAGGTGGCGTACATCGAGATGAGATACTTACCTCAGCAACTCGGCTGTGGCCCTTGGTGCCCCGATATGGCTTTGCCTGATAACGTATACCTCAAAATCCCATGGTGAGTCATCTATACTGGTTGGTGGTTTCAAACCTTTTTTCATTTTCCATAATATATGGGATGTCATCCTTCCCATTGACGAATATTTTTCAAGATGGTTAAAACCACCAACCAGTATACTGACATAGCCATAGAAAATAGCCCATTTATAGAGGACAAACATGATGATTTACCTATTCAAAATGGTGATTTTCCATAGCTATGTTAAATAAGCAGAGGGTATCTCAAGATCCCATGGTGAGTCATCTATACTCTTGTTAATACATATTGATGGATATTGACCATTTTTAAACACATATTAACCATTATTCAATATTATATTCCCATAATATTTCATGATAATTATCAATGATATTATCTCTCCAGAATGTCCCATATGATATCCAATGATTTACTCTCCAGTAAATTAACATAGACCCTGAAAATAGATGAACAAATAACCCATTTTTAGTGGGTTCACGATTATCTTCTAAGCCCGATTTGCCAGAGTCGTCATGTTCATTTACTGAAGGGGAATCATATCTCATGTCCATTGATGTTAATGAATATTGACAATTATTCATAGATATTGATGGATATTAATCACTATTATATAACAGATATAAACAATCATTTAATATAGTTCCCATGCTATTTTATGATATCCCATTATCTCTCCATAAGATCCAAATCCAATAGAATGATCATTTCAAATTATATCCCATGATTTAACATGAATATCCCATCATTTAATAGTAGATTTCCCCATGATTTCCCATGATTCCCAAGATTTTCCCATGTTTCACTGCTAGACATCCTTTATTAACGCTATTAACCATATTTTTAACAGCTATTAACCATCATTTCACAAGGATTTCGAATGGAAGATCCCTATCAAAGTGGATGATTTCCCCAGGGATTTCCCCATTTTGGTCGCCATTCCACGGCGATTCTGCAGAGTCCTGGACCTGCTCGACGCTTCCGGTTCCGACTCGCCGGGTCCGGTTGCGACGGCGCCCTTTGTGCTAGTGACGTCCGGCTCCGATGCGCCCTTGACGCGAGCGCTGCAACGGAGGCAGGGATTGTTCGACCGGTGTCCGAGATGTCCGCTGAATGGTTAAAAATGGCTGGAAAATCCCAAACACATATGGATGATTTATATGGGGGTAGCCCTAGCCATTAGGAAACATCCAGATTTTCACAATCCAATAAGGGAAGACCTTAGAATGATGAGTTGGACACCTGAAAATTGCTAGGCTATATGGCTATATATATATAATAAATAAATGGTGATTAATATGGTGGCTGGATGGGAATATAAATGGACAAGCAATTGGATGGTAACTTTATGAAACTTTAGTATATACCTTTTTCAGTTCTTGCATGTTCTTGCCATATATTCGGTATGTATATACACATGTGAATATAGTGTAGATTGCATTTTAATGTCAACCGCGGTTATATAATAAAACTTGAGTATTACTGTAATTCGGCCAGCACATGTGCTATGCCCCAAACTCTTTCGCGATGATTGTCGGAAGCCTCTTTTCTGGTGACGCTTACACTACTTTGATTCTACTATGTTGGGATATTATGACTTGATGTCTCTGCTGGGTTTGCGAACCCAGAGACGTGTTTGATGACCCTCCGACGGGGATTCGGCTGTCTGGCAAGATTGCTCTTCGACACTCTTTACATAAACCCTACTAAGGAAAACCTAGAAAACACCTAGGAACAAAACCCTAAATTACCCCTAAAGAAACCCTAAAGAAACCTAGGAAAAACCCTAGGAGCAAAACCTAAATTACCCCAAAATAAACCCTAAAGAAACCTAGGAAAACCCTAGGAACAACCCTAAATTACCCCTAAAGAAACCCTAAAGAAACTTAGGAAAACCCTAGGAACAACCCTAAATTACCCCTAAAGAAACCCTAAAGAAACCTAGGAAAACCCTAGGAACAACCCTAAATTACCCCTAAAGAAACCCTAAAAAAACCTAGGAACACCCTAGGAACAACCCTAAATTACCCCTAAAGAAACATAGAAAAAAAACATTTGACAGTGTATTAATAGTGAAGTAGCAGTGGATCAGTGGGGCTTTTCGAAAAACACGGTTCTGCGAAGACATGGATACCTTGGTTTTCCAGGAGATCTTTGGTGGATTTTGGAATGGTGCACAGTTCACCAAGATGTTTTCTCTTGGTTTAATGTGAATGAATGGATTATGGGATCATGAATTATGGTCTTTGGGATTAGTTTATGGATCATGAGAAGACAATGGGACAATTCAGCGATACAAAGTGAGTTTAATCCTCAGATCATTAATATGTTGCAGTTGCTTATTGTTGGTTTATGGGCGCCCGTCCAACTATAGATATATCATTATATCAACTACATGAATATGAATACATGATATTAATCATGATATAATGATACAGTCACCGACAGAATTATGGAAAAAAATAAAACGTTTCAATTTACAGGCGCCGCCTGTCTATGATAGAAAAGTTACGAACCTTTTTTTTTTCCATAATTATTTTTTCCATAATTATTTTTTTTCCATAATTCTGTCGGTGACTGTATGTCCATCGATTCGCAAATTGAATGCATTTTAAGGGGGAATATTGAATTATAGAAAATATGTGTCTAAAGATCTGGTATATGCCCCTAAGTCTTCCATTGATATACATAATATCATGTGATGTTCGCAATTTGAATGCATTTTAAGGGGGAATATTGAATTATAAAATTATGTGTCTAAAGATCTGGTATATGCCCCTAAGTCTTCCATTGATATACATAATATCATGTGATGTTCGCAATTTGAATGCATTTTAAGGGGGAATATTGAATTATAGAAAATATGTGTCTAAAGATCTGGTATATGCCCCTAAAGCCTGCCACCAATTGGGTTGATACTACATACTTGCATTTGCATACATATTTCCATAACCCCCCAAAAAAAGGGGTTTGAATTGTGGATCCATGACATGTCCAACAGGTGGAGCCCCAAACATTAATTATGGAAAAAAAAATATGGAAAAAATAATTATGGAAAAAAAATAATTATGGAAAAACCGGTCAATCTGCCCTAGCCCCCTGATTTTACAGGAAAAATCAATTATGGAAATAATGGCCACCTCCAAGAATTATGGAAAAAAAAAAGGTTCGGATCACTTCCGGGATATTTTGAACCCTTATGGGGAAAAACCTAATTATGGAAAAATCGGACGCAGGCGCGGCCTGTCTAAGTTGAACGTTTTTTTTTTTTCCATAATTCTGTCGGTGACCATATATCTATTAATTGTTGGTTTATGGGTGCCCCAATTATATCATGATTAATATCATGTATTCAACCCCAGCAAAGCTATGCTTTTTGGGGCACCAGTCATGGCCTCATAGAGCAAACAGCCACCATCACCGGGGATGCCATCGGCTACAGCCGCTACATCTGAGGACGGAAAACGCTACGGCAGCTGTGCGTTGGAACGTGTTGTTCGTGATGTTTGGACGTGAACGGTCGAACAAATTCAAAACAACTCTCTCGTAAGACTATCTTGTTGGACGCTCCTGTGTGAAAGACTCTTGGTAAAAGACTCGTGTGAAACGCCCTCTTAGGGACACTTGAAATGGAGACACCTGCAAGCCACCCATAGACGGCTTTGTTTTGGAAACATTGCGCCTGCCATTCAAACTGACACTCCACGACTTCCTCTCCCAACGCTGCCCCAGCCACGCAAACACGACCCAGGGGCATATTATGTATGGCAATCGAAACTGGCAGAAGACAATTCTACATGTTGAGATCAGCGTGCAAGTCTTTGTCAGAAATGAAAAAGTTGGGGCGAAGTGCAGCGATGCAGACCAGCAGCTCAAGGCTCTCGCGCCAGCTCTTCCAGAACCAGAAGAAACACATTTACCCCCTGGTAATCAAACGTGGCAATTGAAAATCCCCCATCTATGGATGTTGTCGTCCATTAAAACTGCCATTTAGTGCAGGGATTCCCTGTTGCTATGTTTGATTGCCAGAGGAGATGTGTTCTTGTTTAAGGTGCGCAGTTCAATTGGCAGAGAGCGACAAGACGTAACTGCTGCGGTTTCGGGTATTGAAAATTCATGCCACGGCTCGCAGTATTCTTTAGAGATGATCCTAGGTATTTTTAGTGGATTTCCCAGCTAGCCATGTTTGATGACACCGTTGCAAGTACAGAAAAGTCCTAAAAAGGGGAGTTTGCAGTCACTGAGCATCGGCACTTTGGGCACACCCTGTTGGAATCCAATTGGCAATGGAAGAATAAGTATATCAAGGGCATGGAGAGAATGTTTAGCAGTTTATGTTACCCTCTGGTAATTTAACATAACTATTGAAAATTGCAATTTATAGTGGATTTACCCATTGAAAATGATGATTTTCCATAGTTATGTTAGTTTACCAGAGGGTATGTGTATTCAAATATAAATACTGTGTATACACATATATATATATATAGATTATTTCAAGTCGGTTGCTGATGGATATCCACTGGTAAACTAACATAGCTACCGAAAATCACAATGTTGGAATATAAATCAACTGTAAATCACCTTATAAGTTCAATAGCTACATAACAATACTAGAGGCTATTCAGACATTTTTAGTGAGGCGAGTCACTTCACACACCAGGTTGTTGCGGCTCCCGGGCTTCCGGGCATGTTACTCCACGAATCTGCATGCACCGCCTGAAGAGTTGAAGGAGAGATCGCTGGAAGATGGGTGGAGATGGATAGCTATTTGATTGGGTGGTTTTAACGGCTTGCGAAGGTGGAAAATCACCATTCCGTTCAGTTAGGTAGATCATCTTTTTTATTGGCCACTTTCCATAGCTATCTTAAGAAAAGAAGTCACAGATCTCTTTAGGGTATCTGATGGGTGGAACCTCAGTTTGTTGTTGAGAAAACTTCCCACTTTCGATGGTGTCTCGAAAAGCCGCCAGTACCCCAATGGTGGCCGATTCCCCACTTGGCGGTGCAAAGGACTTAACTGGTATAAGGGGTATGAGGGGATAATCTCCATGAGTCTACTCTGAATTGGGATATCTACCTGGCCATCTACCATAATTGGAATATAATTTCATTCTGTGGGAAACTATATATATATCCCAATTGTATGGGATACATATATATATATATACATAGAGTTTCCATAATTGTTTGGCCATCTACCTGGCTTCAATTTTTGTTGGTACTGCACCCCCAAGTAGTGCAGCCAGGACTGGTGCGTTCACTGTTTTGTCCACGCCTTGACCAGCTGTCCTTCAACTGGTGGGTTGCCAACCTATTTACCACATATACAACTCAAAAAGAAACTGGTTGGTGGTTTGGAACATTTTTTATTTTCCATAATATATGGGATGTCATCCTTCCCATTGACGAACTCATATGTTTCAAGATGGTTAAAACCACCAACCAGGAAAGATGTTCGTTTACATACATTCACACACACAATAAGTCAAATAGACATAATCTCTAGGATATTTGTACCAAAACCCACAGAATGAACATATCTCTATATATCTCAAGTAATTAGACATATATCATATTTGTTTCTTATCTAGCTTGGCCATCTATATATATATAATTGTGTATATATATATATATATCACATCCAGACCCAGCCATCGCGACGTGTCAGGAGCTTTTCCACCCATTGCCTGTGGGCTTCTTGTCGGGCCGCCTGAATGCGCACAATGAGGCGTGCCTGGTGCTGGGCGGGAAGGAAACTTTACAAGGGTACTCTCATGGATACCATGTGGAGAATCCCTTGATGAACCTTATATCAAATGTCTATTGGATACTCAGATAGCCTTATATTTCGGGATAACTAGACAGGACTGACTATATAATATACATTGTATTTCTGCTTATTTCTTTAATGATCTTTATAAACTATAATGTGTTAGTTATATCCGGGTCGTTCAATGTGGGTACAACGAACAGAAACAGGCATTCATAGGATCAATATTCAGGCAATCATGGGTCCAGACGATCGGAACACTGATAAATTTACTAACCTAACCCAAATAGCTCGAGCTAGAATTGAGTATGGAGGGTATATCCCCCCCAAAAAAAACAAAGGAACAAACAAATATCCACCCATTGAGAATCCGTATCCTATATTGTAAGCTTTTCAGGATACGCCAGGGGTGAACAAACCTAAGATCGGACGCGGAAAGCTTGGCGGCATAGTGCCGAGCCGAGGAGGCTTGCCTCTTAGGTGATTCCCAGGGCTGCTCCGGGAATACTCGACCATACATAACCATAAGGGGGAAAAGTGAGTTTCAATTTCAATATTAGACATGTAGGCTTCAAAACTTGAAATCCTTTCGTTTTTTTGTTCCCGCGTTAGGTGTTTTTGTTTTTTTCAGTGTTCACGCTCAATTTCGTAATTCAGTCACAGTGCTTAAGTATTCAATCTTGTTCTTCTTTCTTCTTTTTAACACTTCTCTGGTGAGGTTTTTTGGCACCCCCGATGAGAAGACTGGATCAGACATGTTGTTTGGACAAAAACTGGATTATTGTTGATAATAGAATGAACCTCATGTCTTTGATGCCTTTGTGATAAGCATGGATTGCAATTCGGGGTTGCAGCATTTTTCAACTACCTCACTGGGGTTTCCCTCAGGAGAGCTGGGCGGAAACTGAAACCATGGAAGCATCGCCCACTTCTTGGGTTGACTATGTTGACTGCCCGGTCCAAAAAAAATATGTTCTCGCATGTAAATAAGCGATTACGTCCCTCCCATCTGTGGTTACGCCCCTCGTACGTCCCGATTGCGCCCCTCAAACCCGCATATAAATAAGGGATTACGTCCCTTTTAGCGCTTTGGCTGTATACTATATAGTATATTCCAAAGCGCGCGGACGGGATGCACGGCAACAAGTGCACGCCACACACCTCCCAAGATGCACGCAAAACAGCTTCCTGACACAAGCGTTGTAAAGGCGGCACGCTGCCAGAGCGCAAGAGGTTAGCATGGCTTCTTGTGGCCCCGGAGAGTGGACCCTTTCAACAGATTCAAAACAGCTTCTGCGCCATGTCCCCTCATAGTATTATACGGATGTGTGTGTCCATGGCGGCTTGCATTGCAGAAAGAAGGCTGGCGCCAGCAAATGGACGAAATCCGGGCCGTCAGGACCGTCGAGCAGCTCCTGTTTGTTCTTTCGTGGTCCCAAAAATGGGGCCAAAAACCGGCCCCAAAAACGAGGCCGCAATATTGCCGGAAGAAGGAAAGGCTTCCAAAATGGCGGCCCCGTTTCTGGGACCAGGGTGTTGCATACACAGTCGGCCCCCTCTGCGTGCAGTGAGTAGCGGCGACTCCGGAACATTTCGTTTGTTTTCCTGGCAATGGGCTTGACAAAGCCTCATCCAATTTTCACAGTAGTTCGTTACATCTTCCATAAACCATAGAATTCAACCACTGAAATATCTCAACTGAACGCTATCTTGGGTGCCCCATCCTATGTTTAACTGGTTAGTTTCAACCATAAACATTGCCATGATAATTAGCAAACTATTGGTTTACCAGTGTGTCTCAACCAACATGAATCATTGTTACTAGATGTTATTAGTACCTATTAGTGGGTATCATAGCATAGTATCTATTAACTAATTAGTACCATGAATCGTACTATATGTTAACCATAGCATAGTATCTATTCACAAATCATGGTTATGAAAAACTATAGGTTATTAATGTCATAGGTATTTTTGATAGATACTAAACATTAATAGATACTAATAGCTAATAAATAACCATTAATAAAAGATGTTATTAATGGTTATTAACATATATTCACAAATGTTCACATATAATCACATATATCAACATATATTGCTATATATTAACATATATTAATGATCCAGCTAGTTCCAAGGTCCCCAGCTAACCCCCGGTAGGCGCTGCTGGCCGCGCGGCGCCGCGCCGCGCCGTGTTTCGCCCAGCGAGACGCGCGGCTGCTGCTGCCGTGGATGCGCAGCTGGAAGCTGCGGCGGAGCTATCGGAGCCACGGAACCGGTGGGACGGGAGGGTTTAGGGATGCCTAGGCCCATGGGATATTTGTGGCTACAAATGGCATATTTGATTAATTACTATATTATTTAATATATATATATATATTTATATTCATGGGATCATGATATAGGATAGTTAAACATAACTATAGCTTTTACTATTAGATTTATCATACTTATTATAACTAATGAGGTTACTACTATAGCTACTATAGAGTTGTGAAAGTGACCCGCAGAACCTAACGTTCGTCCACCATGACATAATCTATCACTCTTATCACAATTTTCGTTCCTCTCTCACACACCTCAACACAGGGTGCAAGTAACATGACAGCATGGTATACTTGTTGGTGGTTTGGAACATTTTTTTAATTTCTCTACATATTGGAAATCATCATCCCAACTGACTTTCATATTTTTGAGAGGGGTTCGGTTCAAACCACCAACCAGTATATGTAGAAGGGTACAGTATACTGTAAAAGGCAACGTTTCTGGTTTCCCGGTAATTCTCGCCAACCCTTCGCAGACATCGTCTTCGTTGAATTTTTGCTTTGTCCTTTTGTCCCGGCGTGGGCTCCGGGCAAACGTCCGGTGCTTTGCGGATAGTTAGTATTATACGTATAGTCCCTATTGTAATTAAATGGGATGCTTATAATTAGCCAACCTCTATAGGATAATTATGATGAATTATGGATAGATGTGTGAATTTAATGGGCTAATTATGGGTAACTCATCTTTTTTCGGATGGCTACTTGGAGGAACACCCCAGGACTGGGTGCACTGCTTAGGTTACAACCAATTTATAAATGACACGAGGGGATTTACTAACTGGTTATTAACCATTTACTAATTGGGTTGATCCTCTAAGATCCTCCAAGTACAAAAGCGGACTATCAAACATGCACTGATTGCTAGGGGGTTGTGGAAATAAAGTCCCTATCTTGATTTGATTGGTTTAAGCCTCGTTCTGTTTAGATAAGTCACAATGTTTGATTAGATTTGATTCTTGTGATTTTTTGGTGGTGCATTTCCTATATTTGTTGGCTAAATCCTCCATGTTTGTTGGTTTTCCATAGAGATAACCCAGACACGACAGGCCCAGGTGAATCATGGTGAATCCACCACGACCGACGCTAGGAATCTACTGGAGATGAACTCCTTCAAAGACTTGGTACATGTGGTGTGCCTTGGCACTGCTGTGGTCCCTTTCTGAAGCGGCACTGCGAATTGTGCCAAAGGTGTTGGAACCCTCCACCGTTCTGGAAGTGTAATTTGATAAATTTTAGTTTGGAACCATTTTACTTTTGACACTACGCCTTTTGTCGGTTTTCGGCGGTAGATCCCTGTAGATCCCTGTAGATCCCTTTACAATCGCTCACTTTTTCGGTTAATTTCCCATTGTCTTTGACTCACTAGGGTGTTTGCCGGTTAGTGTGTTGGTCCTTAAATCTCTATAGTTTTTGTATTTTATTTCCAGTTCTGTTGATTAATGCTTTGTTTTTTTCGCTCAAATCTGTGGTGACTTTCCTTACCCTGAGCATCAAAAAGTCTTTAATTAGAGGATCCTCTAATTAGAGGTTTTTTTTTAAGGGATAATCCCTTAATTAGAGGTTTTTTTTTCAAAAAAAAGTCTCTAATTAGAGGTTGTTTTTAGAGGCTTTTTTTGTGAATAAGTGGGTTGTGGGATTCTATAAGAGCCATAAGACATGGATGTTAACCTGACATGGAACTTTTCGTACCTCTGTGTATGTTTTTGTCGTTCGGAAGAGTTCGGGAGCGGCAGCACCGCGTCCGCGAAGATTTGCAGCTCAAGTCTGGTGGAAGAGATGAGGAAAGCCTCATCCATGGATGTAGGCTACCTGTCCAAGGCATTGAGGGGCAACTTGTCTGATCTTCCCACCATGTGCAGCCATGAGACGCATGAGGAGCTTCTTCGCGACATTTTGCAGAAGACACCGCGGTTGAACAAGGAGGAAGCCGTGAGGGCTTTGCGCAGCGCTTTCCCTGGTGCTGACAAGGCGGCGTCGAGTGCTTTCGCTGCTAGCATGGTTGTTTGCGTGCAAAACATCTTCGCCAAGCGGAAGTCCATGACAAGTGGCAAGAAGTTGTCGCCGAGCTTGGTGCGTCTCATCTCCTTGGCCGATGAACTCTATCCTGCGGAGCGCAGGGACCGAATGGCAGAGGCCGCACCGGCTGCTTCCGCAGCAGCAGGCAGCAAGGCAGCAGCATTGCCAGTTGCAGCCTCGAGCAGGCCAAGCAGGCAGCTGAAGAAGGTGGACAGTATTGTGTCAGTGAGTTCTGCGGCCTCGTGCGGGGAGGCGATGCGCATTGCAACACCACCCCGGGAAGCCGTGGCGGCATTGTATCGCCCTGCTGCTGCGGAGCATGTCTACTACACAGACGCAGGGCGTCAGACCATGATTCGCATTGGGCACGATGGGGCTCAGGAAGCAGCTCAGAGTTTGAGCAAGGGATCCTCTGGCTTTGTCTTGGCTACTTTTGCTGATGGTGAGCAAAGAGAGACTGAATTGCCCAATCTCATTTTGGAGAAAAAAACGCCACCAGCACCAAAGAGAGGAGTGAAGAAGCGTCCAGCCGCGGCGCAGACCGTGACGGAAGCAGCCCCAGTGAACGCTACCCCGGCGAATCCTGAGTCTGCGAATTTTAGGCTTGAGTACCGTAGCAAAACTAATGCCTATTCCATACGTAAGGCTTCGGTTGTTGATGGCCGCTGTCAAAAGAGACAAATAGTAGAAATTGTAGGCAGAAACAGAATTTCCAAAGAGGCCCTGAGCCAGATTGCGACAGAGGTGCGCAATCGTCTTGTGCAGGGTGAGTGTGAAGAGGCAGTGGCACACTGGGCCAAAACGGAAGTTTCGAAATGATTGCAAATTTTGCAGAGGATGAAAAGCGCGGCTTTTTTTCTGCGCGTAGTTGGAACAGGACTGTTGTTGTTTTTTTTGCTTGGCTTGGTTTTTTTTGTTGCTTTACTTGGAGAAAGAATTGGTGCTTTCGCCCCTTTTTTTATTTATGGGGTGTTTTCGGAAATTTTTTTGAGTGCAGTGCGAGTGCTTGCTTGAGGGGCTTGGACATTGGAGTGTATGTTCGTTTCCGTAGCCATTTGTTCCCGCAGCCCCTTTTTGTGTTTCGACCAACTGCTCCTTTTTCCGATGGCCACCGTAGATGTGCGAGTCATTGGCGAGAGCTCTCCTGGGTCGACCGGAGGGTCGGGCGGCGGCTTTGGCGGCGGCGGCTTTGGTGGTGGCGGCTTTGGTGGTGGCGGCCGCGGCGGCGGCGGACATGGCCGCGGAGATGGGGGCCGGCGCGACATGGATGATGAAGAAGATGAAGAGGAAGACCTGAGCAAGTTTTCTCGCAGAAAGTGCCAAAGGTGCGGGAAGATGGAGTACCTCAGGAAAGGTGGTTGCGCCAATCCTGCCTGCGCAGCTTGGATGTGTTTTTTTTTGGTTCCCCCTAAGAAGAAAGAAACCATCCAATAAATAAGGGAGAAGTAATGGTTTGTTTTTTTTAACACTTTTTTCCGGGAGTCTGCTGCGCTCCTGTTTTTTTTTCAAACGGTGCCACTGGCACAGTAAGGAACTGTTTTTCGCGACGCAAGCGAATTGGCAGTATGCGCAGAAGGGTTCCGACTCCGCTCGCAGCTGGAGCGACAGGTCCCAGTACTCCAGCATGTTGCAGCGGAAGTCGAAGGGAAGCAGGCATCGAGACCGTGGCTTTGCGCGCGGCTACAGCACGACTGAGAGGGCGCGGCGGCCTCGTGCAACTGCTGCTGCGGCGGCTGCTGGGACTCATGAGCCTGCAGCTAGTGTGCCTGCAGCTCCTGTGCCTGCAGCTAGTGAGGCTGCATCTTCGGTACCTCCGGGGATTTTAGCCTTGCAGAAGCGCTCGGCTTTCCCTTCACCAGCAGGAGCAAGGGGGCCATGGCACACGCCCTATGCCTTTGTCGCCAGTGGAGAGCCTTGGATGACGTTTTTTATTTTCCCCTGAAGGTATATGAGTGTGTTGTACTGTTTTTGTTTTTCCTTCCAACTTTTTTTCGGGGTGTCAGCCACCCTGTTGATATGAGGGTATATGTGCGTATGAATAAACAATATAGTTAGAGCACCCTTAATTTAGGGATATGTCAGTTTCCCGAGGCTACAAGAATCAATACCACTTCTTGGACCCCAACTTCGCTTCTGCATCGCAGCAGTCCCCGGGTGCAAATGGAAATTGGGGTGACATGGCAGCAGTCCATGCTGCCGGCAGTTGGAGGGGATCAGTTTGGCGCTGCTCTGGCTGCTGTGCCGCCGGTCGCTGGTGTTGCCGACATGCTTGCCGCTATGATGGGAGGAGCAGCCAGTGCGCGGCCGGCTTTCCCAGGTTTGCCCGCACCAGCAAATGGACCACCTGCTGTGCCACCAGCTGGGACTGCTGCTGTGACACCAGCTGTGGCTGCAGAGGTGCCTGTGGGAACGGTGCCTGCCGAAGCTGAGCCGGGGGAATCAGAGGCGCCTTCGCGTCGTAGACGCGCAGCTAAGGCAAAAGCCAAGAGGGCTGCAAAGCCTGCTGCCAAGAAGGCTGCGGCCAAAAAGGCTGCTGCTAAGAAAGTCAAGAAGCCTGCCAAGGGCCGCAAAGGATTCTAAGTAGGAAGCTACTGTGCCGCTGACCGCCTCTTCCAGAAAAAAGGTGCGCCTGTTAGAGTCGTGGTGGGTGTCGAATGTGTTGACAGCTAAGTAACTGCGTCGGAGCAGTCGTGCAGTGACTACATGAGAGCTGGTCACGTTCCGGGTTGGAAAAGCATGTTGGATTTTTTTTTGCGGGAGATTTTTTTAACTCCTGTTTTTTTGGTTACCGGTTGGACTGCCTTTTCTATTTTTCGGGAGTGATGTCGCTCCTGTTTGTTTTTTGATGTTTTTTGCGGGGACCAAGAGAATACCTGCTGCCAGCATTTTGATGAGACAAGAATAGAGATCGCGGTAGAAATGTCGCAAGATAGTATGACTTCTGAACAAGAAGCCAGCTTGGCGGAATTGGAAGCGGCTATGGAAGCAGCTATTGCAACACCACCTTCCAGTAGCCACGCAGCCGCTGGACATGGGACCTTGCTGGATTCTCCAAGCACGCCTGAGGAGCTGGCCGTGTGGGAGCCCAAGCGCACCTTCAAGAAGCGTCATGCGCCCGATGATGCTGCTGCCACTCCGGCTCCGCCCAGAGACAATACCCAAGACTTTGGAGAAGTGAAGGTCCTTTGGGTCAACTCTGTTCCCTTTGTGCACTCAAGCAAGACAGGCTTCGTCTATTGCGGGACAGCTGTGATGTCTCGTGAGGGGAGGGGAATAGATTCTTACGTTGACTGTTTCACCTGTTCTTGCAACCTGCTGTACGGACACCAGGATACATGCACGTGCGAATGTCATCTTTTGAAGGATTACTATTTGTCCTACCAACGCGCGCGCAATGCCAAGTCCTGCCGCATCGGCCCTTTGGAGCTGCCAAGCCAACCATCGGATTCCCAGGTTGCTGTAGACTAATTAGAGATTTTGTCCAGAGCTGCGATCGTCTGATCGCAATTTTGATGCTGTCTGCGCCATGCCTGGAAAGATTGAGTTGGACTGCTGCTGCAAGCGGGGAGGTTGAAAATTTCAACCTTGCAGGTTGAAATTTTCAACCTCTTTCCCTTTAAAAGTAAAGCAAACCAGGTTGAAAATTTCAACCTTGCAGGTTGAAATTTTCAACCTTCACCTTTTGTCCTGGGGCTCACATACTTTTAACATAGAAATTTTTGGAGACATGATGGTGGACAGTAGAGCTGATGACTTCCCCCAGGCTATGCCCTTGACCTGAAAGAGCGTCTTGCCATTTCTTGTTCTTCGTGGACATCAAGTGTGGTATGTGATTGCAAGTGTCTTTTTGCAATTGCGACATGTGAGTCATGTTTTGAAACAGTGACAGCACAAGCGTTTTGATTTGCTTTTTCTTACCTGCAAGATATGAGAGACAGAGACAGTTGGTGCGTGGTTTGTCGTTGCTGCTCAGCTGCTTTCGCGCGATGGCTCCGAAGGCGGCGGCCAAGAGTACTGCCACGGTGAAGGCTGCGGCCCAAAAGGCGCGGAAATTGCAGAAAGCAAAGGCATCACCAAAGTCGAAGGCAAAGGCTGTTCCTGACGCCACTGGAGTTGTGGCCGTGCCAGATGCCCAGCCAATCACCAAGGCAGAAAACCAACGGCTACTCAACGTCCTCAAATACCGTGCAGATCCTGACAAGAACAAGAAGGGTGAGAATTTGGCAGAGGCTCAGAAAGTCTTGCAGGCAGGGTTTGGCAGGGTTTGGCAGGGTTTGGCAGGGTTTGACGGTATGATTGGGAGCCCAACTACATTTGAATTTGTTTACGTAGCGTGTTTCACACCATAACTTTCCCCTTCATGCCCTCTGTCGACCTCTTCCGCGAAATGCGCGCAGCCGGCTAGACTTACCGCAACTTGGATGAGAGCAAGAAGCAACACTTTCTGCAGAATTTGAAAGCCCACGGCCTGCAGAATTTGACATGGTTTGGACAGTTTGCTGAGACTCGTGAAGAAACCGCCACCACCACCCACAGTGCCACAGAAAGTTTCCTCACTGGGTGCCTTGTTTCTGCTGGATTTGCTTTTTCCGCAGGCTCCTTTTTTGGAATCCCAAGTTCCTTAATGCAAGCAACATGAAAACACACATGGTATATTTATATTCTCATTTTTTTTCGCGGATGTGGGCTCAGGCCAAAAATCTTGGAGATGAATGGCTTGCGCTGGACAGACTATGCCCCGGAGAAGCAGCAGGAATTGTTGGAAGCCTTGCTGGAAGAGAGCGCTGCCACCTACAACTTCCAAAGGGCGACGAAAGACCATGCGATTCCCGAGCTGGTTCGCTACTTCTACAAGGAGCAAGAATCGACTACAACGGCTGCTACCAACAAAGACGCTCGCACTTTCCACATCCATGCTGACATGGACAGCTCCCAAATGTCCAAAGCTTCCAAAGACCAGGTGGAGATCAAGATCGAGAACCCAAAAAAACAGGAATTCGCCACTGCTTTGAAGACAGCCAACCAGGGCATCAAGCGATTGGAGCGTCTCTACAATGATGCTCAGAAGTTGTCAGCCCAGTTGCAAGCTTCTTTGCCAGAGAAGCACAAAGAGTTCCAGAAGCAGTTGGATACATTTTCCAGTTTCTTTACCCAGTTTCGGCTCGTCACCGCGGCTGCCGAGAAGCAAGGCAAGACCGACCTGGCGGAAGATGTTTGCGAGAAAGAGGGTGGCAAGCTGCTTCACTGGTGCGACCAAGCCGCCCAGCATATGGACGAAGTGATGCTGCTGAATAAGCGTGCCAGAGGGTGGATGGCCTAGAAATTTAGAGAACTCAGCTGTACCAGCTGCAATTTTGTCCATGTCCTTAGAACATTTCGCAACAGCTGCGGATGTCCTGCGCGGAGACCAAAAAAGATCGTGCTGTTGCACTCTGTCTTCCTCCTTTTCCTCCACTTCCGAGACTGCAAGGGTAATTTTGAATTCTGAGAACGCTGGGAGTTGTCGTCGGCATTTTCAAGTTTTGCAGTCAATTTTGAAATTCTTTCGGGAGCTTTGCGCTCCTGTCCACGCGCGCGCATTCGTGCTTGCCACGATTCCCCCGCAGCCACGTCATGCATTCTAAGAAGAAGTTGCCCTATGACCCTGGCACTTTGCCACCGGACAAGCGCTTTCGCGCTAATTTGTCTGATTTGTTTCTAAGTGGTGACCTTGCAGCCCAGCGTGCCCATTCCCTGTTTGCAGATGCCAATGCTGCTGGGACACACCATGTCACTGACCTTGCTGGAAACAAAAGACCAGATGGCAATAGCGCGCGTGATTTGCTCCGACGCCTTCGAAAGAGCTCCCACTGGCCACCTTTGTACTGGGCAGATATCCCTGTGTGGTTAGACAAGAAGCAGAAAGAAGAAATCGTGCAAATTCCTTTTCTCTTACCCCACGAAGTTGTCCATGCAATGTTCCAGTGGACAGACATCGGCAATTTTTCCGATTTGGCCCACCTGCCAACGGATGAAAGAGCTTTGCTGGAGACTGGCAAAATACTTCTTGGCCGCGATGTGCCTCTGCTGCCCCTGGGCCTCTGGATGGATGGTGTCCCATGCAATTGGGATCGCTCCCACAGTTTGAACGTCTTGACCATTAGTTTTCCCAGCGCATGTGGCCCTCATAGGAGTGTCCGCATCCCATTGTTTGGCATCAAGCAACACTTTTGCAGCAAGCACAAAACATTTGATGCAGTCTTCGAAGTTATTTGCTGGTCCTTGCGAATGTTGTTTCTGGGTGCCATGCCTTCTTGCCGACATGATGGCCAACCTTTCGCAACTTCTGATGCTGGTCGGAAAAACTGGGCCGAGAAGCCGCTGCAGCGCTGCATGCTGACCCAAGTGCGAGGACGCCCCGCGTTTGCCGTTTTCTTTCTTTAAATAAATAATTTGAATACTTTTCCTGTCCTCTTTTTCGGGCAGCCCAACTGCATTCGATTGTTTCTTTGTGCCCTGCGGTGCGAGGAGATTGGAAGATGCTCAAAGATGTTTTCCGCCTACCTCAGCACAATGAGAAGGCTGGCTGCTGCTGGCTTTGCCCAGCTACGCCCGACAACATGAGGGATGCTTCAGCAGCTGCGCCGTGGAGGGTGCCTTGGTGCACGACGGACTTGGTCCAAAGACTGCTAGCCCAAGGCCATCTTTGCAGCCCGCTGTTTTCGCTGCCAGCCTTTACCATCAACATGTTCAAGCTAGATTGGCTTCACATCATGGACTTGGGCGTCGCTGCTGATGTTGCTGGAAATGTTCTTTGGGTATTGCAAGGCAAGATGCCGGGTGCAAATGTGAAGATGCGCGTCAGCAAGCTGTATTTGCAAATTGCCAAATACTACAAAGAAACAAGGGTGCAGGACAAATTGAATACTTTGACTGAAACCATGATTCGAAAGAGCAGCACCACCCCGCCAAAGTTGACAGCTGGGGCTGCCGAGTGCCGCCACCTGATTCCTTGGCTTCTGCAAGCAGCAAAAGAATGTTTGAATCCCAACGATGCTTTCGAGGATACGGTCATCCAGGCCATCTCGTGCTTATCTACCATGTATGACCTTCTCTCCAACTACGCTCGCTCAAAGATGCGGCACGCGGCCGGGCGATTGGCTCTTCTCTTGGCTGCGCTGCGCGACGCTTCTGAGGATCCACTCTGGCGAATGAAACCAAAGGTGCATTTGATGCTGCACTTGGCTGAGAATCTGCACAGCCCCGCTGAGACTTGGACGTATCGAGATGAGGACTACGGCGGCTCCGCTGCCCGTTCCATGCGGTCGCGTGGCGGCACCGACACTCCCAAAGTGGCCGGAGAAAATTTGCTCCAAAAGTTTTGCTGCCGACACGACCTCCCCACTGCTCTCGGCATCGGAAAATGCGATTGCAGCGCTCCTGCTTTTCATTCTTTGTTAGGAGTCGTTTGATTTTTTTCGGGAGATTGCCTTCAGGTATCCTCCTGGCAGCAGAGAGAGATTCATGCTTTGCCTCACCATGTCCTGCCTGTGTCAAATTCAGAGTCATACGTGAAACACTGCCATCATACAAAGAGATAGGAATCTTGGAGAGTTGACAGCTTCCTACCATCGCATTCCTAAGCCGGTCATGCATCTCCACACACATACCATCCACACAATGATAGACTCCCATAAGCCATCTATTCACAAAAAAAAGCCTCTAATTTGAAAAACCTTTAATTAAAGGTTTTTTTCTTAATTAGAGGCTTTTTTTTCAAAAAAACCCTTTAATTAGAGGTTATAACCTCTAATTAAAGGATTAACCCTTAAATTTCATCAAAATTTAAAGGTTTTTTTTTAAATTTAAGGTATATTCCTTAATTAGAGGCTTTTCGATGCTCAGGGTACCCTGGTCTGCATTGGTACGATATGGGTGCTTCGCCCATGGCACAACCCTACACAGCGCGCTGCGCGATTTGGATTGGCATGTGGAGACGGCAATGGCGTCGATGCGGCAGCAGCAAATCCTTCATATGCGTGCAACTGCAGCGGAGCCCACGGAGATTCCATTGTTAAATCCTTAGTTGTGGTGGTTTGGTCACGAAACAAAGTTGTAGTTGTAGTTGTAGTAGTTGTAGTTGTAGTTGTAGCAGTTGTAGTTGCAGTTGTACTTGTACTTGTAGTTGTAGTAGTAGTAGTAGTTGTTGTAGTAGTAGTAGTTGTTGTTGTTGTTGTTGTTTTTGTCGTCGTCGTCGTTGTTGTTGTTGTTGTTTTGTTGTTGTTGTTGTTGTTGTTGTCGTTTAAATGCCGAACAGTACTACACGTTTTGTTGTTTAACTCCTCATTAGTCCAAAACATACCTATGATGATTATGATGATGATCCCAATTGATTCATATTTTCTCCGATGGGTTGAAACCACCAACCATATAGGTAATGAGGTTTGTAGACGAGCAAACATATAAAACTGATTGGGGCATCACATTGTATCCTACAGTTTCTGTTCTGCAAAATCTCTATTATATCCCCAATGTTTCGGATCCCAAAACGAATTCCATTAATCTACAGTATTTTAAGATATTCACGTCGCTTCGCGACGGCAACCGCCCGCACCGCATCGTTGGGCAGCCGCTCGTAACTGCCAATGATGTCGGCCATTGAGACCAAAAACATCCGAAAGTACTGATTGTCGGAAAAAAAAACGCGAAGAATTTGATAGCCATGTATAGCGGACCAACGCAATTCAAAAAATAACGAAAAACATGAAAAAACGGCGAAATTGCTGTTATTTACAGTGTTTTTGCGCGGTGAGAAGCAGAAACCACTGCAAATACCATGGTTACTGATCGTCGGAAAAAAAAACGCGAAGAATTTGATAGCCATGTATAGCGGACCAACGCAGTTCAAAAAATAACGAAAAACATGAAAAAACGGCGAAATTGCTGTTATTTACAGTGTTTTTGCGCGGTGAGAAGCAGAAACCACTGCAAATACCATGGTTTTTGAGGGTCAGGTGGCCAAAAACACTGTAATTTACAGTGTTTTTTTTAACCAACATCAAAAAACACTGGTATTTACGATGTTTTCATTCACACCGTAACATAAAACAGCGTAATTTACGAGGTTTTTGGAAGTTTTGAAGCTAGCCGTCAAGCATGCAGAAAACAGAAAAACACTGTAAAAACCAGTGTTTCTGCTATCACAAAACGACGAAAATCAGTCCGAAAACGGGTCCAAAAACTCAAAAATCCGCCTCCGGGCCAGGCCACCTGCGGAACCGCAAAAAAAGATGTTGCAAACCAAAAAATTGAGGTCAAAAAGTTGAAAAACACGTTTTTTTTTTCACTTTTCGCTTGCCGATTTTGGACGGGCGCGTTCACGAACAGGTGTCTTCCGTACTGTTTTTTACAGTGTTTTTTGAAGGCGAGCGTCACGACCTATCAAAAACAGGAGGTTTTGGCCGAAAAATGGGACCCCCCCCCCCAGGTAAACCTGTAACCTTTTGCGAGTGCCATCCGGAAGATCACGCCCCAGCACCTTCGGTGCGGGCGGATTTTGAGAGTACTTTCCGGATGGCACTCGTAAAAGGTTACAGGTTTACCTGGGGGGGGGGTCCCATTTTTCGGCCAAAACCTCCTGTTTTTGATAGGTCGTGACGCTCGCCTTCAAAAAACACTGTAAAAAACAGTACGGAAGACACCTGTTCGTGAACGCGCCCGTCCAAAATCGGCAAGCGAAAAGTGAAAAAAACCCGTGTTTTTCAACTTTTTGACCTCAATTTTTTGGTTTGCAACATCTTTTTTTGCGGTTCCGCAGGTGGCCGGGCCCGGAGGCGGATTTTTGAGTTTTTGGACCCGTTTTCGGACTGATTTTCGTCGTTTTGTGATAGCAGAAACACTGGTTTTTACAGTGTTTTTCTGTTTTCTGCATGCTTGACGGCTAGCTTCAAAATTTCCAAAAACCTCGTAAATTACGCTGTTTTATGTTACGGTGTGAATGAAAACATCGTAAATACCAGTGTTTTTTGACGCTGGTTAAAAAAACACTGTAAATTACAGTGTTTTTGGCCACCTGACCCTCAAAAACCATGGTATTTGCAGTGGTTTCTGCTTCTCACCGCGCAAAAACACTGTAAATAACAGCAATTTCGCCGTTTTTTCATGTTTTTCGTTATTTTTTGAACTGCGTTGGTCCGCTATACATGGCTATCAAATTCTTCGCGTTTTTTTTTCCGACAATCAGTACTTTCGGATGTTTTTGGTCTCAATGGCCGACATCATTGGCAGTTACGAGCGGCTGCCCAACGATGCGGTGCGGGCGGTTGCCGTCGCGAAGCGACGTGAATATTCAGCCCAATGGTGTATATATATATATAATTATATATATAATTATATATATATAATTATATATATACGTATACCAATGATATCCCACTTATATCCCAAGTATATACCATTTTATACCAATTATATCCCAGATGATATCCCAGTTATATCTCTAATTAATGGGTTTGTAGCCGATTTAAAAGTTGGGGTGCGGCACCACCTTGAACCAGCAATTGCGTCGATCTTGAGGACCGATCGCCTGCCGTTCCCGGACTATTTGGCGCAATTGGGCAGACTCTTGGCACCGGGTTCAGAACGGTTCGGCTGCCGATAACAAGGAAATATAATGTGAATGGGATGTATGTAATATAATATATATATATACACATACATACAATATATATATATATACACATTATACATAATATATATATATATATATTTACATTATACATAATATATATATATACATTATACATAATATATATATAATATTATATTATTTAATATAATATAAAATAATATAATATAATATAGTATGATATAAAATAAGATAATACAACATAATATAATATAATACATAGTATATGTATATAAGCAGGAATCTGATATTGGGATGATTTACCCTCGGGTAATCAAATGTGGCAATGGACAATCTGTAATGGATAAAACTTTGAATGAGAATGTCATCTTTAAATGGATTATGTTTTTTCCATTGCTCCGTTTGACTACCGGAGGGCAATGGCAATAGGATATGTAACCAGCAATCTGATATTTGGATGTAGCTGAAATTGGGGCATATATATATATATATATATATTCCCAATTATGGTAATTTTAGTACAAGGAACATATTGAGAAAACATCAAATTTGGGAGGGTTTTCAAAAACAAAACGAGGTGTGATTCTAAACTTACTGTGTATTTCTTAGTTTCTACAATGTTGGGTTTTTAAGCGATTGCTAGGTTGGTTTCCAACTTGGTCAACTAGGGAAACATGGGAAATATATCAATATGGGTTTATAAACCAACCTGTAACGTGGCTTTTCTCTTCACCTTGTATGGTTATCCATGTGACCGTTCTACCTTTCTGTTGTTTGCAGAAAGCGTTGAAAATCCGCCTACTTTTCGACATGTTTTTAAGAAGGTCACATGAGCTTTAACCCACCCCTGCAGTTTAATGAAGAAAACCCCTCATCCTAGTTTTGGGTCTAGTGTTTAGAGAATCAATATCCCTATATCAACGTTGTTTTTCTTTGAATGACCTCATGTATTTTTATCCCTATCAGTATCCCTACCTTGATTCTCGATTTTTCTTCACGGGGGGTTGAAACAAATTGAAACAACAAACCAACAAAGATGTCCCTTTCCCACTTTTTGCTTCATAACAAATTCCCACTACAGAACCAATCTAAAGATATAATTTTAAGGGCTAAAAGGTCCATAGTTTGATATTATATACCCCATGTTCAGACAAAGTCAAACATCAAAGTGTTGCTTATATTTCCCATGAACAAATAAATGTTTTTATACGTTTATCAATATTGAGTTTCGTTAAATCCCAATTGTTGACGGTTTAAAAAAAACGTGCGACATGAACGGACCAGATCATTCAAAACGCCTCGCAGCAACGCTGAGGTCACCGCTATGTTTTGTCACCACCAGGCAAAGGCTATGACTGCACCAGGACGCGGCACTGGTCACACTGACTTGCTGTGGTTAGGGTACAGCTTACCCTCTGGTAAACTAAGATAGCTATTAAAAATTGCCATTTATAGTTGATTTACCCATTAAAAATGGTGATCTTCCATAGTTCTGTTAGTTTACCAGAGGGTAATCATGTGGTGTTTACCCAAGAACCATTCTTAATGTGGTAAGCCATCACTTATGATTTGGCATAATGTTGTAAAAACAATAATTAACATCCAATTATGGAGGCTGATATTGGGGATGGTTTATGGCGGATCCCCACATTACCCCTAAAATGAAACCCAAATGCCAACTGAGGCACAGCGACCAACTCTACTGCCCAAACGATGACCAGAAACGACCCTTAGGGCTGAATCATCCATTGGGCCATTCTCTGCATCTATGTTGGGGATCAGCAAAAGTAGGACATTAAGTTCACTGAGTACTGACATCATGTCTCAGAACATGGGGTAATGAATGGATTTTTCTCTCCATTTTAGCTCCAGAATCCCAGAATCCATGGTGATTTCAGTGATAAAAACACGGCCTGGGGACCGATCTGCAGATGTAGGACCTGGGAAGCTTTGGCAATGGGCCACTTGGAAAAACTCGAGGATGGGGCATCGAAGTTAGCATCAGCAGGTATTCAAGCTGATATACTTCGCTGAACATTCAGACTTTGAAAGGTGTACCCTCTGGTAAACTAACAGCTTGCTATTGAACATGGCCATAGAAATAGTGGATTTACCCATTAAAAACCAGAACGGCCCCTCATGGGGGAGTGATTTTTGCTTTAAAAATGGTCAAAAATACTGGCATTTACAGTGTTTTGTGACCAAAGTGGGCTTAAAACCGCTATTTTAGAGCAAAAAATAAAGTTCACCTCCAAAGGCTCTCATATGCTGTCATAAATCACTGGCATTTACAGACTCTTGTGGCAGGATTCAATTTTTCCTGCGAGGCTTGCAAAGAACTACAAACAATCAGCACATAACAGAAAACATTTGCTGCACAACATGCCATAAGAATGGGTAGCTGCACATCTTGGAACAGAATATACAGTAGCAATAGGTGACTAGTGTGATGGAGGTGATGGAGAAATTATATTGCTAAAAGCAATTGATATGATATAGGTGTTTCTTCATGAACTTGTTAGATTGATATCATCTTAACATATATTGTATATAGAAGCATTTGCGCTACATAAGAAGTATGGTGGGAAGGGAATACATTATATAGGTGGATATAACACAAGCACATCTAACACTCTGGATAAGAAGGATGGTGGGAATGTTACAACCCAAGAAGTAGGTACATATCTCGTTTATCATTGTTATCTTGCAGAGTCTTGTCAGCAGTCTCATTTCAATAGTTAGACAGAGAGAGAGATAGAGAGAGAGAGAAAGCCAAAGAGACAAAGACGTGTGTCAAGCTGTTGAATATTAAGGTGAGGCAACCTGTGTGGTGGCATAGCTATTCAAAGATAACGGTATGTTTGCTTCTTCGAAACATAAGTTTTAAAATATGGCCAAGATCCAAACATACACAATCTAGAATCACCAAAACCTGCACAGTCATCAAAAAAACAAAGAAACCAATAGATGTACCAAACCTGCACAGGCACCAAAAAAAACAAAAAAAACAAACCACTAGATGCACCAAACCTGCACAGGCACCAAAAAAAACAAAAAAACTAAAGTGTCCAGGAACTATGGATCCACTTCTGAGTAGTTGCTGGAATTTGTGTTTTTTTTTGGTTTTTTTTGGTGCCTGTCGATTTTTGGTGCATCTAGTGGTTTGTTTTTTTTGGTTTTTTTGGTGCCTGTCAATGTTTTGTGAAGTCAGAGTTACCAAACCTGCACAAGCACCAAAAAAAACAAAAAAACAAAAAACACTAGATGCACCAAACCTGCACAGGCACCAAAAAAAACAAAAAAACTAAAATTTCCAGGAACTATGGGTCCACTTCTGAGTAGTTGCTGGATTTTTTTTTGTTTTTGTTTTTTTTGGTGCCTGTCGATGTTCGGTGCATCTAGTGGTTTGTTTTTTTTTGTTTTTTTTGGTGCCTGTCAATGTTTTTGTATATCTCATGTCAAGATCATGATGAAAAAAGTGTGTTTTACTAGGGTTTTAGACCGAAACATCGGTATTTACAGTGTTGTTTCATCATTTTTAATGAAAATTCACTCCCCCACGGGGTGCCGCCGCAGTCAGCAAAGAACTCTACGAAGAGTTCAACCGCGACCCATCAAGCCGCATGGCGTTGATTGACTTCGCAGATGCTTTGCAGCACAGTCCCGTGCAGGCTCTTCGCTTGGCAACACAGCAATTGATCCCGCTGCTCGCCTTTAATGTCCGTCATGGTTCATTATCACTGACTTGGTTCTCACGATGTTCCCGTCTATCCGAGGGATTCGCTTGTTAGAACCGGCCATGCTGCATTGGAAGCACATTGAGAATTTTGCAGATCGATACAAGCGAAATCCACGTGACCTGGCCCTTGCACGAATGAGAGGAGCTGAAGGCTCTCAAATCTTCTCCAGGAGTGGTGTCGAACCGCTGATTGCAATCGGTGCTCGCGTTGGAGCCAGGGTAGCCAGGGCATCATGGGAACGAGTTGAGACTAGCAAGAAGGAATTGTTGGTGGACGAAGACCTCATCGAACAGACAGTTGCTGAGTGCCTTGCACTGATGGATCAAAACAAAGCGGCCATTCATCATGAATCATCTCCGAATGATTTGATTCTTCTCCCATGCAATATCCTCATGATATAGCCGATATATGCCGATATCATGTGGGTAATTCCCAATGCCATTTGCACCATTCCCCAGTCATCACGATTTTATAGGTGGTATATGTGAACCATTCCCAGTCATGGGCGGTTTATGTATGGCATTGTTTTAACCACGTTAGCCATGTTTGTTGCCATGATCTCTTCATCATTCGCCATGGCACGGTGCCATGACCCATGGCTGCGCCGCGCCCTGGGGCGTTGAGGCTCCATCCCAGTGATCCTTCGCGACGAGAACTTTGACATGCGTTGCTTGGGAGCCAGTTCAGCGAAACCCTGAGATTTCATGGGAGAGTTCAAGCGCGGAATATTGGGAATCTATGGCTCGTTAGTTCGGACTCACATCACTTATATTCCTAGTATCTTATATTATGGAAATGGAACAGTTGTTTAACGATTTTCAAGGGGAAACTATAGCTAGTTTCTGGCTAGTTAGCTAGTTCAGATTCACATCACTTAATGGAACATGCCTGAGAGTTGTAACGTGAATAGAAATGTGGGATCATTTAGTTTCCATGATATGGATTCCAACCCTGTAAACATATGGAAATGCTGGTTTAGTATGGGATGGTATGGGGGATATTCTCGAGATCATGATTAGTTCACCCACTCTTGAAGGGATAGCATATTATACAATTATACTATATAGTATATAGCATATCGTATAAGGTATTTCCTATATCGTATATATATATATATAGTGTGTGTGTGTATATCATTGATACATTTATGTGTACATATTTCATTGATACATTTATGTGTACATATTTGTAAACATATGCATATCTTATCTATTCTGTATTGGGGGGTTCGTGACAACTTCCAAAGCACGTCCTTCCGCATTCCGCGTGAGGTATCTACCAGCAGGCGTCGGTCCGCACGCTTCCGCCACCCGAGGAACTCACGCCAGAAGCCGGTTCGCGGTTAGTGGAGACAGGTGAGCCGTCAATGTGAAGAAGCATGGAATAAGAGTGGGATTTTGATGGGATGTCCATGGAATTTTAATGTGATTTAATTGTTGGTGTTTCAACCATCAAAAGATACGGATACAGCTGATGAACCATGGTTAGGTGATAAAACGGCGCGGCTGTTATAGTGGTTTGAACAAAGAACGTCATTTACCCTGAGGTTACCATCTGGTTATGATTAACAGTTCGCCATGGAAAGATCCACCCATGCTTTTAAGTTCGGTGTTTACCATCTGTTTCGATTAGGGCCATGGCTTAACCATGGCTATGTTCAACTCATGGTGAAAGTGTATTTGTTTCTATATCCATGGACATCCATAGCCAGTTCATGGTGGTTTTTCTTGACCTACCGAGTTTGTGGGGGATGTAACCATCTATCCATATTAATATATATATATATATATATAAACCCTGGTTATGACTAACAGTTTGCCAATGGTATAGATGGCCCATAGAAATAGATGGTTTACCTATTAAACATGGTGATTTTCCATGGCTATGTTAAATAACCAGATGGTATATATATATATATATATACTCGAGGGAGCGTTTAACAACCAAGCATGCGTGCGGAATTATGCGGATATGATTGACCAATAATGGTTCACTACTTCCTATACTGAAGGGTATCCTACCTGGTTTATGGATGTTAAGCATAACTGGCATAGCTCATAATTAACGGGATATCAACAAAATCATGGGATAATCCGGGTGCTGGGAAAATTGCCAAATATGTCCTGCTCCAGTGTTACTGAGCCCGTTTTTTTCATAATGTTGGTTTGCGCTTGCGTCTGGCAACGGAGCAACACTTGCTGAAACCAAGTTGCAACGAGTCTATCACTTGCGCCAGTTCAAGATGAACGATGAGAAGGCAACCTCCCACCCACTCACGGCTGAAGTGCTTTGGCAGCGGTTTGACAAGCACGTGACAGTGACGCTGGGAAGAACTTGAGCAACACGTACGTGACCCTCGCTGTCAGGAGCTGGAAGTTGGAAACAAATCTCCATTCAACTCGCTGTACAAGATGGCAACTCTCATGCAGGTGGCAAAATGCAATGTGGACACCATTGCGTCTCTGCTCAAATTTTCTTTCTTTTTTTTGATATTATGTGACCTTCCTTCTATTTATGGTAATGATGATGACGTAATGGTGATAATACCTGGATATACCAAACATTCTGTTGTGCTTGGTTTTAGCGTGTTCTGGCTATTTCTGGTTCATAACCATAAAGTGAAGACGTCTTGCAGTGACCATTGGATCCATGTTTGGGAAAATCTGATATCTTGGGGAAATGGACTTAGAATGAATATGTTTACTAAATATTTACCCTAGGGTAAAGTAACATAGATGTGGAAAACCACCATTTGTAGATCATGTTCCTGGAAAACCATGGAAAAGCAACGGTTTCCCTAGGAAAATGACCAACAAATGGATACACAGGAGGGTATGTTCTAGCATTGCCTAGCTTTGGGGGGTGAACATGCACACATATTTACTATTGACAGAGTGTTGGTAATGATCTGATTGACACTTGAGCGTCTATAGAAGAGATTATGCACTTTAAGCCTACTGGAGTGACAATCCCACTTTCAGAGTGGTTTGCCCACTGCATCTCCCTTCATACCAGATCCTAGTGTTTCTTAGTAGCCTGTATCAAATGGTGTCGTTGACCTGTATCCACTGTTGATCGGTTTGGTTGCTTTTGAAGCTGACATGTTTGTTCCCTCAGCTACTAGATATATTTCAATGTGTATGTATATATAATATATATATATATACATAGTAGTATTGTTACCACTAATGAATGAAATCTCACAGTTCATCGGTTTTAACACCATTCATTGTTGGGCACGTCATGAATGGTAACTACCATACAACTATACCAATATATTATCTATACAATGGATTTCAATAGTTATCATGTGTCATAAACTATCCAGTGGTTAAGAGGGAAAAAGGTTCGGAGCTATATGTGGCCAGTTTTTCCCTATGAACTGCGGGGAGCCAGTTGGAGCTTCAATCAGAGTCTTCAGGCCACATGTTAGTTATGTTTCATCAATGCAGATGTTAGCAGTTTGTTTTTTCTCGGGATACGAACCGGTTAGTAGATTCCAATAGTTGCAGTTTGGAATTTACTATATCAACATGAATGTGATGATAGTTCCAAGCATCACCATTATTCACAACTCAGTTAGTCAGATGGTTACTATTAGTTGCCATGTGTCACAGTTATCATCTTTTCTAGCTGTTAACAATGATAATGATAGCAGATGGTTATCTATTCTTGGCCATAATGGCCAATGTGGGAAACCCAGTAATAAACCATAATCAACCTACCATTTGGGGATAATATTTACCACCCATTTATAGTGATATGTTGGGATGGTTGAGTATTGCTTACGTGTTGTTTACCACATTAATCATATTTTGGTGTTTCATCATCTAAAACAAAGATCAATATGATCTGAACATAGCTATTATCCAGTATGAATGGTGACACGGGTTGATACTGGTGCTTCATTTATAATGGATGATCACCATTGGATATACATATGTCATCTTGAGAGAAATAAAGACACATGTCTCAGATATAGAAAAGCATTCTCTGAAATGGTTAGATGTTTGACACAATGAGTTCGTTTAAGGGACAATCTACAAGAAACCATTGTTTTTCCCACCAAATATGAGGGTTTTCCTGTACATTTTCCCTTAAACCACTCCAATGACATAGAAATCCCACTTTTTTCCGATTAAAAATTGTGATTTTCCATATAAATCACAATTTTCCCACGGTTTTTCCATGGTTTTCCCAATCCATTGACAGTTGGATCCATCTGCTCCCAGGATGTCTTGGCCCAGCTGCTGTCGACCAAAGCCACGCCGGTGGACACGCGTCCGTTGAACCTCGGTCGCAGCCTGATTTATGCTAGCTAAATTGGAACTAATACAAGCATTATAAATCATTAAATGTGTATATTATACATATATATGTATATATTTATAGGGCGGAAGCTGGGGGTTCCCCGGAAGCCAATTGCAATTTAATTGTATGGATATGGAAAATGTTGATTTTGTGCTCCATCAGTGAAAGTATCAATGTCGGCGCGGATAAACTCGGAGTTTGTCCGCGCAGAAAAAAGATAAATTTACATCTTCCATGGATGGCCAGAAATGCGTTCAACATTTTTCCCATTGGAATTGCGGTTTCATACATTTTGTTCAGTTTTTGTTGATAAGTAGAAAATGTCATAATCCACTGGAGAACCATGGACGAAATGAACATCACATATTTTCATCTTCGCTTTCGCTAAACCTTTTTTTTGGCATGGCGATGGAAAATGTTGTTTTTACAGTGTGTTTTACAGTGTTTTTTTATGTTTTTCTCTGAAATGGTTTGATCAATCGAACTTCCATTTTCATCGCGGAAGAACTTGACGTTTGTCCGTGCTGAAACAGGAAAATTTTACATCTCCCATGGACCGATGACTAAAGATGCGTGGAACATGCTAACCATTTGAAGTGCGGTTTCTTTTATTTTGGTGTTTCTGTTCAGAAGTAGAACATGTGATAATGCACTGGAGAACCATGGACGAAATGAAGAACGCACCTTTTTCATCTTCATGTCCACAGAGGCTGTTTGAAGCAGTTGGCAGGAGCGAGAGCACCATGCCATTGGTTTTCTCACGGTGCAGTCGCAGGGCGTTGAGGACAGAGTCAAGACCAGGATTTTTATGAATATAATAGGCGGCTAAAAGATTTCTATGTTCCAAGCGGTCTTTGGCTCCTCCTAACTGACTTAATCTTCCAGGATTCAACATCATCCAACGCACTTCACATGACGTTATTACACCCCCCCCACCCCCCCCGCCCCCCCTTCCGTAAACAACAACGAAACTTGCAACGTAGCAACATCTTCCAACCAAGCAACATCTTCCAGGATTCAACATCATCCAACGCACTTCACATGACGTTATTACACCCCCCCCCACCCCCCCCATCTGTATACAAGAACGACCTTTCTGGTATAGCATCAAGACTGAGGGTTCCTCGAAGCTCCGGGGAACCCCCAGCCTTGAGCCTATTTATATATGTACATAATTATGCATATATATATATATATATATACACCTTATACACGTGTCATCCATCTTTGAAGCTAGCGCTGACCAGTGTTGCGGAGGACGGCTCTGACGCCAGGTTCTCTGCAAGTTCAGTACCAAACCATATAAAGGTTTTCATAAATGGGGGATCCCCAAAATGGATAATATTACCCTATAATACTAGTTATGGTAGATATAACTATAGTATTCATGGATCTTAATGGATGTTAATGGATGTTGATCCCCCAATAGCTGGATGATTTATAATGGAACATGCTATTAAAATTTGGCTGATTTGGGGAAACCCCATGACTATGGAAACCTCCAAATGCGGAACCAAGACTTGATGATCTAAATGGTAACCCCCCCAATTAAGTTAAAACAGCCTAGGTTTTATTCATCCAGGTTTGAGATTGATTTTTGAAAAAACACGTTTTGCCTGCACGAAACGGCAACTTTGAAACGACGATTTGAAATGAAGAAATGACGGTTCGAACGACGGCAAGACACGGGGGTTGTGGGTCTATCTGTCTGTCTGTCTGTTTGTCTGTCTGTCTGTCTGTCTGTCTTAGGTAGTAGGGAGTGGACTTGGGATGTTCAAATTTGTTATAAAAACTTCAAGGGGACCACCCACTTACCGAAACCAATTTCTTACACATAACATGGATTAACATGGAATTGCAAACCTTCACAACTGACAGGGGGCCACCCACTTTGGGCATGGTAGACCAGGGTGTACGGTAGATATATGTAGGTATATCAAACTGGTGACTGGGTGGGCTCCAAATGGGAAGCACCGGAGGTTCCTAAAAAGTGCTTTGAGGGAGAACCTACAGGAAAATCCAACCAATTTAAGGTAAAAACATGTTTTTTTCCGTTTAAGATAGTCCCTTAAATCAATCCATTCAGAGTTCTGTTTTGTGTTCGGGTCAGATACGGATGAGGAAGTATTCACCAAAATTCACAATAAAATCAAGGGATTAGCTAGCAACATTGATTCGAACCATCGAATTTTGGAAGTTAAGCTGAGTGGTAACAATGGCGACGGCAAACGTATATGAAGTTTCAGCATTGCTTTCTTGGTTACACCAAATCTACATAGGCGCCGAAACCCTATCATGTTGTTTGTTTTCCTCTTGCTCCTGCTGATCAAGCGGCAGAACAAATCCACATTGATGTAATCCCTGTTGATGTGAAAACCCTTCATATTTTGTGGTCAATATACTCCCAATTCTTGTTGGTGGAAGTTGCTGACATTGCAATGTTTCTGGGAAGTGGAAAACACCGGTATTGCGATCTCTGCATACTTGAACGGCAGGTAGAGCACTAGAATTTGGCAAGGTACTTCCTGCTGAAATGGATTCCATCCCATGGTTATAATATAAGTTTGTTTGTTTTTTTTTCCAGTTGACATGTTCCATTTGGTGTACCCACCATTTTTATCCCCAACCTTGGATAGGTAGTTTAATCCTTCAGTTGTTTGCTATACATGGAAAACAACCAGTTTTTTTCGTGGACTACCAAAGGTTAAGCATGTTTTGAGGCAAACCCATATGTGTTGTTACTAGGAAAAGTTTCAGTGTTTCATGACACTTCTAAAACTCCTTTATTTTTTGGCAGGCTACATCCCACATTATTCCATGATAACTATGATAACCCATAGATTTTGCTAGATGTCCCATTATACACTCACTTTTCTTGATTAACTACCCATAAAATGTCTGATCCTTTTCTGTCCATCCCATAAATCTCCATAACTAAATTCCATTATGCGGGGTAAATCATGTTACAATAATGTGAAAAATATCTCCTTTAGCTGGTGATTGTCCGATGTTGTTTGGTTAAAAATCATCTCAAAAATGATGTAAATTGATCTTTGGTTTCCCATGTTTGCTGGTGAATTTCCACCCCAAGTTGCACCTTCAATCCCCGGTATTGTCCAATCTCCTTAAGGCAGGTGCACTACTGGACCAACTTGTGGCGGCAACACCTGGACGGAGGTGGGCCCCGAAACATCAAAAAACGTGGTGATGTAAGCCTTAAGTAAATCCGCAAGTTGCTAGTTCATAACAAGCAAACCTGGATTTTATGCCCTTTTTGTGTCATGTAAGCATCAGACATGTTTTTTTTTCCGAGTATTAAACTATATTAAACTGTCAATGAGCCATGTATTTTGTTGGGGTTGAGGTATATATCCATGTACATTCCACAAAAAAAACAACGCCATGTTCGCCTGACGTTGTTTCAGATGGTCACTAGCGCCACAGACATTGTGACCATTAGTTTTTGGAAGCTGCCAGCGCCAGAGGAGTTTCCTCATGTTTCTATATCCTTCAGAAAAACAGGCAAGTGCAAGTGTAGTTAGTTTTTCAGATTTCTTTCAAGTGTAGTTAGTTTCTTTGAAAGATGAAGCATCCCTTGATGGATCAACGGACATCCCCATGGATTTCCAAGGGATGCCTTGGGATGCCGCGGGCAACGGGGATTCCCCAGTCGTCACCATAGGTTTAGTAAGTCGTGGTCACCTATGGCGACTGGATTGATGGCATGTTGTGGCCCTATTTTGGGAAACCTCCATTTGATGATCCCCTCAGCTCAGGAAGCCCATAATTCATAATGATTGAACTCTGAGGCCCTTTGAGAAAATATTGTATAGGTTTGTTTTTTTTTCCTGGGGGGTTGAGGTTGAATCATTTCTTGAGTTCCAGATTAGCATGATTGATGTGAATCCGAATCGAGCTTGAGATCAAACTTCGAGCCAAATCTGCATGTTCGCAATGGTCAAATTTGGTTTGATTCGAGTTGGTCTTGATTTGAAGTGTTGATTGTTTTTTTTAACATGCTTTAAACAAAATGTCTGGACCTTGAACTCCGACTTACATTAAGTACATGTGTTTTTCTTAAATGTTTTTAGTTTCAGTTTGAGTCTAAGAGGAGTTTGAATTTGATTTTTCCAAGTACACCTGCACACCTATCTCCTGGGCAGCCCAGCAGCGTGCAAGAACCGCCCGCAGTGGGGAGTTGTCGGTTGACCTTTAAAAGACCAAATATTGACAGTTGGATAAAATTTGGTTAAACAAAACAGATACCATCTGGTTATTTGTTACATAGCCATGGTATAGATGGCCCTAATCGAAATAGATGGTTTACCTATGAATAGCATGGTGATTTTCCATGGCGAATTGTTAAATAACCAGATGGTAAACAATGAGTAAACAAAGAATAATTTAGGGCCAGCTGGGCCAACCTCAGCTACTCTTGGCCTTGCTCCCTTCTGGTGCCATCCCTTCAGGCCATCCCCTTGCTCGGCGTCCCGCTGTGATGAGGTCCAGCTGGGCTTCGCCATAGTTGGAGCGATGTTTGTCTGCCCCAAAAAGATGATGCTTTAGAATGATCTTTACATCTTTCCAGGCTTCGAAAACTGTGCAATGTTCGGCATCTTCGTTGATAAGGGTGGTTTTTATGATAGAACTGATGTTCCATGATTTTGATGTTTTGCCGTTTTGGAATTAGATGGGCAAACATGGGCAAGCACCATTGATCCAACTAAAGGTCCAACGTTAAACCTTCCTCAGGGGATGAACTTGAGGGCTCACCGGTGTTGCCACCAAAAACATCGGGACCGTGTGAATATAAACCATAAAGGACCGTTCTTGAAGCATCAATTCTTTCAGGACTCGTTATCAGTAGTGTTTACACATATACGCAATATATATGCCCTGGTTTCTCAACAAACATGTTACCTTGGTTTTCGACGGGAGGTGGAACCATCACAGTCCTCAGCATTTGCAATTACCAATTTCAGTCATTTTTGTCGAATATCGGAAACCAATTTTTGATTTGGTAGGTACATAGATTCTCAAGGGGAAATGTGTTTTTCTCTGGGGGAGAGGTATCAACCAGTATTTTCCGAGATGTGATTCAAATTATGGATGTTTCAGGAAAATCAGATGTTTTGTCCTCCAAACTTGCTGGTTGGTGGTGGTTTGGAACATGAATGGATTATGACTTTCCATTCAGTTGGGAATGTCATCATCCCAACTGACGAACTCCATCATTTTTCAGAGGGGTAGGTCAACCACCATTTTAATCTCATCTCAGCGCGCCAGGTGAAGACTGTGGACTGCAACTACCAGCTGCGTGGAGTCGTTCAGCAACTGAGTCGTCGGGGCCGGTCCGGGTCGCGTCGAAGCCGGCCGTTGGATCCCTGATCCGGAGACAAGCGGAAGAAAAGACAGGTGAAACGCGGTCAAACTGTTTGAAGAAACAATCTAGGCCATCTACGGTTTCTATTCCCATATGCTCCATGTATGCTCCATGGTGCTGGTATATTTACCATTATTATTATTATCCATTCTTGGGTTATTTGTTTGTTATTTACCATGGTGCTGGTCTATTTAAGTGGGTGATTTTCTTCGGGCTGTTGGTAAATCTTCCAGCACCATGGAGATGCCTCCCAATCCCCTGCAGCATGACTCCCCCAAAGATTTGCGGGGCTTGGTATTCCGGAACGATCCCAGCTTTGAGCGGCTGTATATATATATATATAATTGTTATGTATATATATATATATACACATTGTTTGATTATATTATAATATATTATATACTGTATGTCATTATTAGCAGTGGTAGTGGCATTGTCATTATCATCATAATCATTGATATCCGATTTTTTCTATGCGATTTGGCCACTCAGCCAACTTGAGGGAACTTCAAGCCCTACCTGGGACCCTGCAAATCTCAGATACCAATTCAGGCCCCTAAGTGTTTCTTTTGGTTAGTATATATATATATATAAACTTTATACAGTATGTATATATATATATATATATGACTATGTGCGCCAAAACGGCGTCACCATGCTTATTCTGACTGGAACAGAAGATTCTTTTTTTTTCTCCAATAAATTCCCTCATCAAATAGGGCAACGCAAAACCCCGAAAACATGTTGTTAAAACTATGCCATAACCATCCCCTAAATCACCATGTTTATGGGTGCTATAAACTAGTATAAACCATAAAAAAATGGGTGGTTTATTGTTTTACTTACATTACACATGGAGAGTTGTTTAATTGGAAAACACTATCGGACTGCTGGGGGATTTTTGTTCAGCTTGCCACCTTTGATCAGAGGCTAATCCAGATATCCAAGACATGAAATCCCTATGATCTCCTGATGTTTTTTCCTATATCCCCCCATGATATTCCATTATTTTCCCATAGAGTATCAGTGAGTCGTCTCCCCATGTTTTTTCTATATCTTGATATATCCCCTTCCACTAAGTTCCCATAGAATATCAGTATATCCCCATTGAAAAAGCATCAAAAACTCCATGCGCCGAGGTCGAAGGAGGTCTTTTAGCTCCACTCCAGGCAGGATCGGAGGGAGATTTGAGCAGGATTTCAGCATCTAAAATGAGGGAATTCCAATCATAAAATACATATAAAACGTTGATATGAAATTCGCAGCTGGTTGATGTTTCATGGTGTTTAGTCTTTTGTTAAAAGCATATCTGAGATAATGATCCCAATTGACGATCATATTGGGTCGAAAGCACCAAATCAGATAAATCAGGCAGTTGTTGTCGATTGTAGTGGGATGGCTATGGCGAGATCTACCAAAACCCAGAAACCCATATTTTCCGTGACCAACAATATATACCAAACAGTGTGCCATGAATTCTCCAATCATATTTCGCTATGGGCTATGTGTATATTAATTACACACTAAACACTTTATATTTTATGATGTATACTCTATCATTTATATTAATAGTCATCCTAAGAGTATAATTATCCCTTTGTAGAACTACCCATCCATTTTTTTTATTACACTATATGACTCTACCTGGTTGGTGGTTTGGAAAAAAATGTTTTCCCCAATTTAGTTGGGATGATGATCCAATCTGACTTCCTTTCAGAGGGGTGGGTATACCACCAACCAGCTATATGACTCTACTATAATAGTCTATGATCATTAGGATGATTATGGCTATCCTTTGATCTTAGGATGATTATTACAAATCATTAGTGTAAAAATTACCCTCTGGTAAATTAACATATACCCTTTATCAATCACCCATTTGTAGTGGTTTCACTAGTCTTCCAACCCCATTTTTAGCCAGAGTCTATGTTAATCTACTGGAGGGTACTATCTGAAGATATATAACCATCCTAAGATAGTCATGGCTCCAACATCTTCCTATGGTATCCAAGAGGCTGCCCATGGGGATGGTCCAGTTGCCAGTTGTGAATTGGCTTATAACCCCAATGAACTTTAGTATGGTTTATATCACCTATAAATGGTAGATTAAATGGTTTATAAATTGATTATAAATGGTTTATAAAAGGTTCATAAATGGTTTATATCACCTATAATTCAAAGTGAAATTGGAAAAAAACGCAAGGTGGTGCCCCCGTTCGAAAGCTAAGTTGCTGCCTACATAACTCCAATTTCACCATGGTTTATAGGTGATATATCTATATACTGTAGTCAATGGGGATTATAAACCAATTTATAGCTGGGGGGCACCACCTTGCATGTGTTTTGTGTTTGTTTTCCATGCGTCAGCTTAGTTGTTCTTGTTGGTCATGAAGTTGTTGTTAATTCGCTTGTTTTTACCGTTGTTGTTGTTGTTGTTGTTGTTGTTGTTGTTTACCAATCATAATTGTATTATACTATACATAAAATTGTTTTTTATTTATCCATAGATTGTATAATTTCCAGGTTGGGAATGTCTAACTATACTAATACGTTACCAATGATACCCAGTGCATACCCAGATATTTTCCAATTTACCACGCATTTTCGGTTGAATTTCCGTAGGTCGAACGACCCTTGGAGCCTACCTGGAACGCTGTGGGGCCAACTGGGGCGATGCCTACGACGTGCCTTGGCAATTCGGTGGCAGGATGTGGGGTTGACGGATAGTAAAAATTCCATATAGGCTAATATAGGTTTCACCATCAACTATAAAATTGTAGTTTTACCTTGACAGAGAAAGGTTATTTGCCACATACGTGTAGTTAAGACATAGGTGTAACCTTCAAGTACCTATAAAACTGGTGTTTTTACCTGATAATTGTAGTCAGTGTACTCTTATCATGTTTTTTGGGTACTTCGAGGGTCTAGGTATAGGTTTAACCACAAAGGATACCATGAGATATGGTGATCCAAGGTGATCAAAGGACAATGGATGATGGTTGATGAGATTGTTTGGGAGTTAATTAGGTTCAATCATTATTTGCGAGGGGGTTAACCGTCAACCATGAAAAACAATGCACAACATGGATATCAGATAAATATGATGATCAAAGGATGTTTAGCTACTGATCGACATTTCTTGTTGACGGATAAAAAGGACTGACATCAGTCCCGTTCATTTCAGCAAACTAATCATTGGTGCTTTTAGTGTGTTCCATGTTTCTTGTATTCAAAATATGTCAAAATATGTCAAAATGTTGATATGTTTTGAAGCCACCAGCCACAAGGTATTCATTACAACCCCCATAGAACAACATATCAAGTCCAATGCTGCAGCGTCAGCGGAAGCTGGCAACCTTGGACCTCCCATTTGTACGACCATGATTGGAGTTAATGTGGGTAAAACAATGCCATTTGCACCATCCCCCAGTCATCACCCTAAATAGATAAATAAGTCGTATAAGCCATTCCCAACTGGTTGGATGACATTGTTCCCACATTGATCTCATGTTGATGTGGTTACTGATCATTCCTGTTGTTCCCCACATTGAAGTCTGGAGAAGTTGTTAACATGTGGGGTTATCCGGTCCTATAATTTCTTAATCCTTATTATTTTGCTGGTCTTTATCCCCACTGAGAAGACTGTACCATTATGTACCCCTGTTTCTGGTGTGGTTTTACGACCCCAATGGTTGGTGCCATTTGTAGTTGCACCCATGTGTACACGCCCCAGACATGTTCCGTTGGTTTGGTGCAAAGCCAAATACTATGTATAATACATTATAAAACCATATGATATCCCATTGCATGTTTTGCTAGCGGGTGGAAAACCGCGCGTGTAGACGTGCTACGTTTTGAATATGTGGGTTGGGTGGGGTGGGGTGGGATATTAACGTTCATGTACCTTGCGTACATACGTGGATGCTACGCTGCTGCTACGTCACTGGTCAGGGGTTAGGTGGGGTGGGGTGGGATATTAACGTTCATGTACCTTGCGTAGATACGTGGATGCTACGCTGCTGCGACGTCACTGGTCAGGGGTTGGGTGGGGTGGGGTGGGATATTAACGTTCATGTACCTTGCGTACATACGTGGATGCTACGCTGCTGCTACGTCACTGGTCAGGGGTTGGGTGGGGTGGGGTGGGATATTAACGTTCATGTACCTTGCGTAGATACGTGGATGCTACGCTGCTGCGACGTCACTGGTCAGGGGTTGGGTGGGGTGGGGTGGGATATTAACGTTCATGTACCTTGCGTACATACGTGGATGCTACGCTGCTGCTACGTCACTGGTCAGGGGTTGGGTGGGGTGGGGTGGGATATTAACGTTCATGTACCTTGCGTAGATACGTGGATGCTACGCTGCTGTTACGTCACTGGTCAGGGGTTGGGTGGGGTGGGGTGGGATATTAACGTTCATGTACCTTGCGTACATACGTGGATGCTACGCTGCTGCTACGTCACTGGTCAGGGGTTGGGTGGGGTGGGGTGGGATATTAACGTTCATGTACCTTGCGTAGATACGTGGATGCTACGCTGCTGCGACGTCACTGGTCAGGGGTTGGGTGGGGTGGGGTGGGATATTAACGTTCATGTACCTTGCGTACATACGTGGATGCTACGCTGCTGCTACGTCACTGGTCAGGGGTTGGGTGGGGTGGGGTGGGATATTAACGTTCATGTACCTTGCGTACATACGTGGATGCTACGCTGCTGCTACGTCACTGGTCAGGGGTTGGGTGGGGTGGGGTGGGATATTAACGTTCATGTACCTTGCGTACATAAGTGGGGTGGTATATTAATGTGGGAGAGCGGTGTATACACTATAGATACACATATAACATATATATATGATATAACGTCGTCTATCACACTCGGTTTCCACCTTTAGCTATGGTCTTAATGCCTATCACATGTTGAAGACGATGGCATGGTTTAGGCATGTGCATTGTTTGGTACATGCTTATTTGGCCGTCCGTCGGCTCTTGCAGCATTTCCGCCGGATTCCGGCCCCGTTGCAATGAAGAGGCCTGCTTCCGTCACAGGAAGCAAACCGGATGCAAAGAAGAGAAGATCGTCTTCTTCCAGAGGAAGCAAAAGTGAGCCGCAATGTACCCATTGTGGTGCACAAGGCCACTATGCTTCCAGTTGTCCTGATTTGGGAAAAAAACTTTTGTCTTTATTAGCGAAGACCCATTCTTCCCAGAAGCTGCAGAAGTTTCTATCCGATGCCAGCAGTGCTCAGATTATGGGCTGTCCGAAGAAGCCTTTGAAGTCTTTGAAGAGGTCTAAAGGCAATAGACACTTTCGTGCACGTAAAGCTTCGGAAGCTGGAAAGAATCCCAAGAGCAAGAAGCGAGAGAAGCTGAGAAGACCATAGAAGACTTCAGTCTTTCAAGGATGAAAGCAAGCAAGTTGCAGTGACCAGAGACAGCGTCACAGCTGCGCACGCGTTTTTGAAACGCACGGGATGGTGTTGGAAGCCTGGTAGATGTGGTGGCACCTTTGAGGCGTTATCGTTGCAGCATTGTGAATCTCGAGGTCATGGGAGACGCTTTGTGAGGTGCTCCGACTGCAGTAGCTACCGCGATGTTCTGACATGGAGTCATTTGCCCGAATAGAGGATGCCGCTACCTTCTGTCGTAGCTGCTATGAAGCACTGGTTCAGTGGATCGGTGCCTCCATCAGCAGATCATGTATGTATGTATGTATATATATATAATTATATATATTTATTTATTTATTTATTTACATATGTAAGATGTGTATATATAATATATATATATACAGTATATATATATATATATCAGCAATATCAGTAATCCAACTGCAAAGCCAACATGATTTTTCTTGCAGTCTCATGCATAAAAAATGTGATCATAAAGTGTAAACTGTATTTTGAACACATTGTTGGTATGTTTTTTGCTGGTTAGAATTATGTCTCCCATGAATCCCCATGAATTAGGTCGAGCTGAGATGTGATAAATCTCATCCAAAACCCAAGAAGAATCGGTTAAACCAAAGAAATCCATGTAAATTCCCATTCGATCACATCAAAGTCCCATCACAATCCCATGAAAATCCCATCACAGTCCCATGAAAGTCCAATTAAAATCCCATGAAAATCCCATGACGGTAAAATCTCATGAGTAAAATCTGGGAAATTTTGTTGGTCAAAGTCCCTCCCTTGCTGCGGCCAGGTGGAGCCAATCCAGGAAGCTTCTGGACGTTTCACTTGGCGCTCGGAGACCTGGGGAGAAAACCCCAGGAGCTGTTGCTTAACATGGGTTAAGCATGAAAAATAACAATTTAATAGGGATAATGATTATTAACCTGGTTGGTGGTTTGGAACATTTTTTTAAAATGAATTTCCATATATTGGGAATGATCATTCCAACTGGCTAATATTTTTCAGAGGGGTTGAAACCACCAACCAGTAACCATTGGGTTTAAGGACATTTGATTTTAATTGTCTCTCTATTGTCCAAATTCAAGCAAGACAAGAACACCCTGGCCTGATTGATGTTGCCATCTTTATAGGTATCTTCTCACAATCGCCATGGATAGATGGGTGTTCTAAATGTCCTCATTGAAAATGCCACACATTATTTAGTGATTTGAGGATTCCTCAAGAAAAAAAAGCATTAATTTCCGTTCTGGTTTGTTCTGTATATGTGTCATTTCTTTCCTATGATTTTCCTATATTAGGTCCCATGAACACCTCCATTTACACTATACTGAAAATAGTGTACGGTCTGATGAATTTGTTCTAGGTCAAAGCTTCGTAATTTAGAATCTGGTGAATTATAATGATGGCCCCGGCCCATCACTGTAAATGATGATTGGCAAAGGCAACCTTTCCACGGGCCGTACATTTCAGGTTAATTGCTGCAATTCAGCCATTTGGGGGAACAAGAGCCTAGCCATCTAGAACGTATGGGAATGGATCAAATTTTGATCCAAAATTGGATGATTTCAGACCCTGAACACTACAATGTTTGTGTGTGTGTGTAAAATCAATGTACCAAATTTTGATCCATAGCCGTGTGTGCCGGAATGGTTATCAAGCCATTATATTTACTAGGGTCTATTGATTATCCTATGTTAAGATATAAACGGTGAAATATCTAACTGGTTGGTGGTTTGGAACATGAATTTTATTTTTCCATATATTGGGAAGAATCATCCCAACTGACTTTCATATTTTTCAGAGGGGTAGGTATACCACCAAGCAGCAAGACAAGAACACCCTGGCCTGATTGATGTTGCCATCTTTATAGGTATCTTCTCACAATCGCCATGGATAGATGGGTGTTCTAAAAATTGGGACCATCGATGTCCTCATTGAAAATGCCACACATTATTTAGTGATTTGAGGATTCCTCAAGAAAAACACATTAATTTCCGTTCTGGTTTGTTCTGTATATGTGTCATTAATTTCCTATGATTTTCCTATATTAGGTCCCATGAACACCTCCATTTACACTATACTGAAAATAGTGTACGGTCTGATGAATTTGTTCTAGGTCAAAGCTTCGTAATTTAGAATCTGGTGAATTATAATGATGGCCCCGGCCCATCACTGTAAATGATGATTGGCAAAGGCAACCTTTCCACGGGCCGTACATTTCAGGTTAATTGCTGCAATTCAGCCATTTGGGGGAACAAGAGCCTAGCCATCTAGAACGTATGGGAATGGATCAAATTTTGATCCAAAATTGGATGATTTCAGACCCTGAACACTACAATGTTTGTGTGTGTGTGTAAAATCAATGTACCAAATTTTGATCCATAGCCGTGTGTGCCGGAATGGTTATCAAGCCATTATATTTACTAGGGTCTATTGATTATCCTATGTTAAGATATAAACGGTGAAATATCTAACTGGTTGGTGGTTTGGAACATGAATTTTATTTTTCCATATATTGGGAAGAATCATCCCAACTGACTTTCATATTTTTCAGAGGGGTAGGTATACCACCAACCAGCTAATGATGGTGATTTATATCTATATAATGACTATGTTAACCATGTTTGTTTAAACGAACATGGGATGTTATCTATTTAACGGTGCGATACTTTTGAGTACACAAGGCACTTGCTGAACCAGTTTGATATCACACAATTCGGGAAGATCCACAATGAACGCAAAAGGAAGAAAGGCACTGAAGCTGAGTTTGACATTCAAAGAAAACAATCATACATGGATGAAGTGGCTCGCGCTTTGTTTGGTCCGATCGAATGCAGATATGTGGGAGGGCTATTTTTAGCAAAATCGTATGATGGTTCGCACAGGTTCGTGATTGATCAATCATTTTCAGATGAACTTACTTGGAGCTTGCATTCGCGGCTAGCAGCTGATGAGTTTATCGCATTGGCGTACACCACTGCAAAAGATTGTAGAATGGCAGATGCCGTTACCGCTATCCGATGCAAAGTTTTTGAACACATTGTGCATGGGCAAGTCGGTGCCAACGCTGGCGAACGCTGCTAAGCAGCTTTATGCTAGTTTGTTTGCAAAACTGAACTAGAATGACAGCAATTTCGAACATGTCAATTTGAAATGGTCGGAGTTAATTTTGGAGGAAGCGAGGGAAAAAGATGAAGGATTTTTGAAGAAAATGCCAAACTGTTTATTGATGATCTTCTTTCCATCTTGCAGCCTCTCGACAAGTTGGAGCATAACTTGATCGACAGATGCCACAACATGGACAGCAATGGTGACCCCCATTACTAATGACTATATCTATATGTCATGACTATGTTAAGATGATTGTTTCTGGTGTGATAACTATACCACATACATCATCTTTTGAATTAGGGGGGTCACTGTGGATAAACAATCATGAAATTCGTACGCGACCTACGTATAGATAAATATCATGATAACCACTTACCAAATGGGATGCACATCCAAATAAATATGTACAAACAAATATTCGTGATGTGCGATTTTAGCTGTAGCTGCGTTCCAGGTATTTTCAGGGATCGAATTGGCTTTTGCAGAAAGTCGGCCGGTGGCCAACCAGGATATGTAGATGAGGCTTAACATAGCCTCCATGAGGCCCATGGGGGCCATCATGAGGTCGCTTTCCTAGACTTGTCGAAAGGCTCTGACATGAGGAGCTGCAAGGAGTTGAATCATAGCTTGGCACAGCCAAGGTTTGGGGTTCCACTGGGTGCTACTTCAGACCCAAGAAAACAAATCTGTGTGCGCAAAGTCCAGTCCGAATCATTGGCATGGAATCCATGCTTCAAAACGGTGCAACGCACTGCTCCACGCATGTATGGAACGCCGAACGCTTAGAGAAAAACAGAGAAATTAGACAGATTGACAGGCTAACAAAGACACATAAAGGCAGGCAGAGACAGAGGGGCATACAGCGCAATTGAAAGACGAGAATCATAAACAAATCAGCCGCAAGCAACTGGCGGACTGACGGACCGGCCAACAAACGCAACCCCGCTTCCGCATTCTCGATAAAACCGTAAACACATTCAGTTGACGGGAGGCTTGACCTAGCACATCAGCCGAGCCGCAAGAAGGGGAATGCAGAATCCAGCAGCAGCAAAGCGCCCGCAAGGAAAGGACAGAGATAGGAGTTAGTGGCACGCACATGACAAGGAAAGACAACGACGGGAAATAAGAACTGCCAGTCAGCCAGAATTCTACCCCAGTAGTGTATAGCGCATATTTCGTGTGTATATATATATATACATACATACATGCATACATGCATATACATCCATACATCCATACATCCATACATCCATACATCCATACATCCATACATCCATACATCCATACATCCATACATCCATACATCCATACATCCATACATCCATACATCCATACATACATACATACATACATACATACATACATACATACATACATACATACATACATACATACATACATGCACACATACACACATACACACATACATACATACACATACACATATTTATATCTAGATGTGAACTAACATAAACATGTTTAAATATTGTATATCATGTGTATATATGAAATAGATATAATATCAATATATATATATAGAACAAGAACAAATATAGAGATATTCGGATCGCTTAAACGAAACCGCCGAAACCGCCATGTTGTTTGGATTTTGTTTGTCGCTCGGGGATACGCGTAAACTGAACCAAGGCGAAGCTGAAACGAAAACATCACATCATATCATCATATATAAAGAGATATATATATATATATATAATCTATATGTATATGGTGTCGCATGCTGCCAAACAAGCTGAATCTGCACTTGCAAAAAAAACAACTTCCACTGTCCGCCAACTGCAAGCTTCACAAATTTCAAATACGTAATCGCCTTTCCCAGCATTCACGTGTCAAATGGCAATCAAATGGTTTGGTGCAATTTGGTGCAGCTTGATGCATCTCGTCACACAAGCTCTATTTTTCAGACCAGCCCGCCAGGAATGGTTTCTGTCTCTCAACTGTCGGAGTCAAAGAATGGACGCTGGTGAAAGAGTTCAAAATTCAAAGGGACCAGGCTGTAAAGAGACTTGAGCTACCTCCCTGCCGCAACCCCAAATGCTGGCTGAGCCTGAGCTAAGTCTTAGCTTCCAGTCCTGAACAGTCTATCACCTTGCAAAAGGACTCCTATGAACCAACAGCTTTGGAACGAACCTGGCAGCGGCAATTCTCGCTGGCTTGGCACACGGAGCGCAGCAGTCAATGACAGCGGGTCAGTAGCTGCTTCTATTCACGCCTCGAAAATAACATTTGCAAAAAACATAGTGTGAGTGGGATTACAAGTCTGCAACCCTGTTGCCATGGTTAGTTCTCAAGTTCTCTGGATTGGATCTTAAAATCGCTACCGCTGAATTCACACCACTTAAGACAATCGTGATAACATGCGAGGCCACACAGTACGGAAGCAACACGGCTGTCAAAGCTACGCATCACATCACAACGCTTTTCAATCATCGACCCCAGACCGGATGATTGGACCATCCAATCTATGAAAAGAAAACGGACGGACCGTCGGAAAACTACAAAAAGACCATCCTTCTCAGATCTCCTCAGAACCTGCGCTCCAAGGACTCACTTCAGAACATGCTTTCCCATCTTCATGACGTTCTCTGTGGCTGCCGCGACGGAGTTTTCGCCTGTCTTGCCCTTCTTCTTCTTCAGTTGCAGAATCCCATCTCGGTTGAATGCTTGGACTGCTGCTGGAACCCCCAATTTGGAAGGGATT